ATTCTGTGTGCATGCTGACAGTTAAATTCTCCTTCACATGATCACTCCTAGAGCCTAAAGCCTCTAATGGTATCAATGCCTCCAAGATTAAGACTATTCTGGTGAGCTTTGGAAGAAGCCCAGTCATCACAAGAAAGTTTAACCGCTTGGTATTAAGTTGCAGTCCTGCTTTAATCATGGAGAGTTTCCTTAAGCATCATCACTAGTAGAAGGATTATGTAGGGCTTCTAAATTTTTCAACTATTTATTTAATTAAATCAGTATACAAACTTTGTATGTACATTGCATGCATAAAGTCCAATATATACTTCAGAGTTGAGTGATTGCAATACCCCACTATGCATCCCTTGCCCATAGCCAACACCTTTGTAAGCATTTATTTTTATGCGTTCTGTTTGTGTTGCTCTCCAAAAGTTCTTCTGAAATGCTGGTAGGCAGTGGGGTTTCTATGTTCAATGAGGGGTTTTAGTGTGCTCATGTTTTGAGTTTATGCTGGAAATATATGCAATACTATTGTAGAATTAGCTCAAACTCACACTCATTCAAGGAAGAAAGACCGTTCAACAACTGTAATTATAAAATCAAGGCTGTAGAATTAGCATGGATGGAGGTGATACCCCCCCATTTAATTGTCTCCAAAAATAAAATAATGGTTTGTCAACTCTCAATAACGTAGATGTATAGAAAGGGTTAAATCACAATCTGTACTCGAGCCTTGCCTCTATCAAACATAAACTACCTAGCAACAAATAATAACTTGACATCTAGTTGATCATATGCAAAAGTGGCAGAAGGTAGATTTTTCCGATGAATAATCAGTTGAACTGCATCCTAATCATCACAAATACTGCAGAAGACCTATTGGAACCTGCATGGACCCAAGATTCTGACAGAAAGCAGTCAAGTTGGTGAAGACAAAGTCATGGTTTGGGGTTACATTCAGTATGGTTGCATGCGAGAGATCTGTAGAGTGAACGACAACATCAACAGCCTGAGGTATCAAGTCGTGTGCTTTCCATTACATTACAAACCACAGGAGAGGGCAAATTCTTCAGCAGGATAGCGCTCCTTCTCATACTTCAGCATCCTCATCAAAGTTCCTGAAAGCAAAGAAGGTCAAGGTGCTCCAGGATTTGCCAGCCCAGTCACCTGAAATGAACATAATTGAGCATTTCTGGGTAAGAAGGAGGAGCCATTGAAGATGAACCAAAGAATCTTGATGAACTCTGGGAGTCCTGCAAAAAAGCAAAGTCAGACCTCTCTGTCCTAAATAAATCAAGGCATGATCAAAAAAATAAGGCATGATCATATTTTATTTTGGTAAAATAAGCTTATTCTTGAGGTCTTTGCCTTTCAAATAAGCCACTACTAATTCCAACTAGAGGTCAAGTTATTATTTGTTGTTTCTAAAACTTGGATAGGCGACAATACTTTTGTCAGGTAGTGTAAATGTACATTGTGATTGGCAGTGCCTTACCCTGCTGTCATATGAGCAGGGCTGGATTAACCAATGGGCCTTATGGGCACAGGCCCAGGGGCCCGTGCGCACTAGGGGCCCCTGCGAGGGGGGAGGAAAAAAGACAATTTCGGAGTGTCTTTTTTGGCTAATTGCAAATAGCGCATCTAGTTGGAATAAGCAATTCAGGATTTACGTCCATCGATGCCTGATTGATAGAGACAAAATAAGTAAAGAGCTGTTAATTATTACAGCCGCAGTGGCGCACCTTGTAAGGCACACGGCATCATCTTTTGACACGATTATTCATAAACTCGGTTTGAATCCACCATCAGCTGAACTCGTGTTACTTTTTTTTCTCCCCATTACATATCAGATTGGAAATATATTTATTTTTAACAGGAAGGAAACATTTTTTTAAAATAATGCAAATGTGATATAAAGTCACAAGTGTCTCGTGGGTATTTAATAATGTTTAGCCTTATTATAGATGCCTCCCTCTCTGCGAAAACTATATTGCTCAGACAACTGTATTTTCTCTGAGCAAAAAAATCGTGATCACATATTAATATTATTATATTTAAACTGCATTTTTTTCGTTAACTAAACAGAATGCTGTAATTGGTCAAGCGCGGAAACGTCAGTTTTGTAATAACCCGCAATAAACTGAGCGGACTTTAGTGTAACGTTATATCTGTCATAGATCAAAAATGAGTGGACAAGTGGATTTAGCAAACGCGAGAGAAAGAGGAGAGGATGCATCTTTATTGAGGCATTTTCCATACACACCATCTTTAAACAGACCCATGATCAGGAGAATGAGGGTACAGAAGAAGACGTTATGGTAACTTTAAATGATGAGTAGCTAGCATTAACCAGGTGGAGGGGGAGAGAGAGAGAGAAAGGGCCAGAAGAGGAGAGAGAGACGGGAGAGAAAAGGTATAGTGTGTGTGATTTCGGATACTTTTAGGTTTATAATCAAGTCTTCATCACGAGAAGAGTAGAGAAAATACAGGGAGAGGAGGAGAGAGACAGTAAATCATTGTTTGTATTATGAAAGACTCAGATTCATAGAACTGGATTGGAGAAGCATTGTGCGTTATATGCCATGGCAATAATATGCTTTATAAGTTTGTAAAAGCAATACATTAAAATACCCTTAAATAAAAAAATTAATATAAAAAAATAAATTATATATATATATTAGTATTTTTATTCAATGCTTTGAAAAAAAAAAGTTAAATCTTTGTAGACTACAAATACATATGTACTATATATCATTTATTAAAATATGTGGGCAAGAAATTATAATTCATTTTATTTAAAAATTATTATATTATTCTTATTTTTTAAATTCAACTATAGGGGTGCGGCCAGGTAGGGGGCCTTACAAGACAATGTGCCCAGGGGCCACTGAGTTCTTAATCCGGGCCTGCATATGAGAGCCTCCTATGACATGTTGGGATGTTCGCAGCCCCAAAACTAGTTCAGTTAGGTCCCCACCAGTATCAAAAGCAAATCTACACTCTTGCTTAAAATAAATAAAAAACAAAATTGTCCATATGGACCTTAACACTCCCATCACCAGCTTCGCCCCGCTCCTATGGCTCTTGGCCCTGCCCAAACATATTATAGCTGTAAACAACTGTCGCAACATGTAGTTCTTTTTTTTGAGAATTGTGAGATTGTGTGAAGTCTGTGCTGGACCTAGCACATGCACTTGACGTAGAAGTAGAAATTGGCCTCAAGTGGCACTTTTTCTTCATTGTTTGTGTGTGATCTCAAATATCTGATATGTATTTTACACAATGGTACAGTAAAGAGGTTAATTGTGAGCGATTTAAAGTTTTGATACATTGACAACATTGTCTGTTGTTCTCTGTTTTGCCAAGAAAAAAATGTCAAGGTCGGAGCTGAACATTTGTGGAAAGATGCAGATTTTAGTTCCTGAATGTTTTAGGATCCAAATGAATTTGTCATTGACTCATTAATCTATTCATAATAATAAATCCTTACATTTATATAGCGCTTTTAACATTTTTGGAGGGAATCTCCTCTCCACCAGTGTGAAGCACCCAACTCGATAACACAACAGCAGCCATATTGCGCCAGACCGCTCACCACACACCAGCTGATTAGTGGAGAGGAGCTATAGCCAATTGTAATGTTGCCAATTATGATATATGATGTAGCCAATTATGATATGGGGATGGTTAGCAGGCCATGATGGACAAAGGCAGCCCTGCTTAGCTTCAGTCGGTGACCATGTGAGAGTTGCAGAGAGCTAGCTGCCGGCACAAAGACTTTAAACATGGAGAATTTCTTCAAGCATCATCATTATGGAAAGGACTTTGCCTTAAGGGCTTCGGATTATAATTAAATAAATAGTACCAGCTAGCCGCCAGTAGGGTTAGGGTACCTTGTTTAATTTTTTTAATCCTTCAGGTATTTTTTTATACAAATGATGCAATGACTTACTCAATAAGACAGACCTGCCACCCTCTACTGTTAGTTTAAGTGTAATATTTGGTTTGTTTATTTGTGTATGTCATCATATTATATCACCAGACTGTCCTTCAGAATGTTCAGAACCAGCTGACCTGGCCGCATGGCCTGTTTCAAACATATAGATGGAATGTTAGGTTAAAGTATGATTACAGTACATATACAGTCATTTCAATGAGAATCTGTGCAATTGGTAATTTCACATGATGAAAAAAGGCTCTTCATTTGACCACAATCTGAGCTTGGTCATACAAATGTGCAGCTTTACCAAAAGCAAGCTGCTTGGTTTTGAAATTACGTATTTGTGGGCTGTGCTTCATTCATCTCCACATTATTGACAATAGACCTTTTTGTCCTTAAAAACTGCCTAAAATGTCACTAATGTGATTATAACTTTAAGGCTGAAGGGTGACTCTTGAAATGTGCGATAGCAAATACACGCACGATCACTAGGGGCCAATGAATAAAGCTCACAAACCTGAAACAACAGCCATGGAAATGATGCATTCAAAGTATCAAAGCTGTAATGGAGGAAAGCAAAAGAGTGACATTACCCGGATCAAGAAGCTCATATGTTGATTGGATGTTAAAAGCTTTTGCCACTCAAGACTGCATAAGAAATAAAACAGTGAAAAGAGTTACTTGTCTTGCCAATTATGGGGGATGCTTTTAACAGTAAAAAAAAGAAACACGACTGGCCCTGCTGTAACTGATAGTCACTATGTCAAACTAACTCTGGTGCTCAAGTAAACAAAACCTGAATATAGTTAAAATGTTTATCTTCAAAGAATCTTTTATTCAGAGTCAAAGTACAAGTCCTTGCTTGTTTAATTTGTATTTTTGGTGGGACAAAAAGTGTTTAAGCATTGAAAAGATTCGACACATCACCTCTAAAGACCGTCTTATTACTGCCTCAGTTTAACTATATGACCGTATAACTGTGCTTATACACGTCCACTGGCTTCCTCTTCTGCAGAAGTATGTGCACTAGAAAAATACATTGTTTATATGATGATAAATGGTCTCTTGATTCATTTAGGATGGCTTTGTGGTGCGGATCTATGCTACCAGCTCAGACCCAGCTTTACAGCAGGAGCTGCAGCTCAAACTGGCCAGGAAGTGTCTTCATGCCTGTGGGATTTCCCTCTTCGACCTGGAGAAAGATCTTCATATCATCAGTGAGTCCTGTGCACACACCTTTGTACATCAGTGTCAATGTTTAAAGGGAAGTGAGTGTTTAAATATGGTAACTTGGTGTCTCTTTTGCGGTGCGTGTGTTTGTTTTTGTCCTCAGGCACAGGGTTTGATGAGGAAGCAGCCTTGATTGGAGCTGGCAGAGAGTTTGCTTTGATGAAAACTGCATCTGGCAAGGTAGACATATCTCTCTATGTTCTTTAAGTGTCCCTATGTTAACAATTCACTAAATGAGTTAGGACCGTAAGACAGGGTGTAGAGGCCTAACTTATGTAGATTCACTTGTCCAAACTACGTTGTTGACAAGATGGCTAACCCAAACCCTAACCCAACCATCATAGTTATTAACGTCTACACCTTCCCCAACCATCATAGTTATTAACATCTACACCTTGCCCAACCCTAAACCCAACCATCATAGTTATTAACATCTACACCTTGCCCAACCCTAAACCCAACCATCATAGTTATTAACATCTACACCTTGCCCAACCCTAAACCCAACCATCATAGTTATTAACGTCTGAACATTCCCCAACCCTAAACCCAACCATCATAGTTATTAACATCTACACCTTGCCCAACCCTAAACCCAACCATCATAGTTGTTAACGTCTTCACATTCCCCAACCCTAATTCCAACCATCATAATTATTAACGTCTGTACATTCCCCAACCCTAAACCCAACCATCATAGTTATAAACATCTACACCTTCCCCTACACCTTTGATTGATTGATTGATTGATAGTTGTTGACGTCTGCACCCTCCCCAACTGAAAACCCAAACAGGGCTTTACATTAACACCCGCCAACCCACCAAATGCGGGTAGATTTCAACTCTGGCCGGTAAGACAGCCGCTCCCACTTGCCACTTTGGCTGGTTGGAAATAATTTTTACATTTTAGTTTTCTTAAAAGCAGGGTTCGATAATAAGGATTGCCCAAAATCTGATCTTAGAATCGAGAAGCAGCACGACTGACAAAAATATTTGTGTTCGTGCAAGCAAAAGCAGGTAAATACCTTATGAGAGGATGATTACTCGCGCACACAGCTGATGTTATGCGCGCGACTGTTAAAAGCACGCGCTCTCGTTTACTTGCGCGAAACAACCGTGTGTAGAAGTGCAACTGGTGCGATTGGTTCTCTTTGAAATTGAATCGACAAAAATGCTCATGCACCCACAGTCCTGCTGCTTTCAAGAGCTCAAGATTGAAAAAAAATATATACATACATCCTTTTTTAAGCAGCAGCAGTCACTGCTTTCATTTTAATTATTCTTTGAACAAATTATTAACAAGCCTAACATTAACTGTGTGCACGTGATCATTCTTTTATTATCACACACGCTATGTTTTTGCCTGCTTTCTTTTGATTACAGTTATTTTTTTTTAAATGGTTTAATTATCATTTTTTACAATAACATTGCTTTCATATAAGATTAACTCCCCATTTATGTGGAGTTAACTGCTGATCTGAGACCTTTAGCCAGGCCAGATTACTGTGCGTATTTAAGATACATGACAATAGATCTTTTTAAACGACAATTATAAAAAAAAGTTTTGTTGAATAAAAAGTACATGTGCAGCTATATTTTGCTTGTTTTGACAAATTTAAAATTTGTGGCAAAGACATAATTATTTAATCATTATTATTTTTGGTGTGGTCAGAAATAAATTTGGTAAATACTTAATTTTGAGCCCTGAAAAGTCATGTGAAAAAAAACACAACACACACAAAAAGTGAAATGAATGAGAAGTCATGTTGACAAAACAACATGTAAATCAAGTAATTTTAGCATGTCAAAGTCACATTTTTACATATAGTGAAAATGGCGAATGGCTAGTAATTTTGAAAATCTACTAGCCACAGTGGCTGGTGAACAAAAAGGTTAATGTCAAGCCCTGAACCCAACCATCACAGTTGTTAATTTCTACATCTTCCACCACCCTAAACTCAACCATCACAGTTATTAATGTCAACACCTACTCCAATGTGCACATACAGCCGTGAGTTGTGGAGGCTTTTATACTTGATGTGCTCACCATTGTACTGTTATTTGCAACCACAGGGGGTGACATAGAGTAGGCTAACTGCCATAAAATGGACGACAAAGTCAGCAAGTGGAGTTGCTAAATAAATGAATATATTATTATATCTAATTAATAGGTTGTGGATAAATTTGGAGAACACATGAAAACATTTGCTGAAAATGTTCTCTGGAAAGTATATCTTAATAGAGAAAAGTATTTCTTTGTTCTTGTTTGTTCTAACGATGATATCAAGGTTCTGTTTACAGTAATTTTGTTGTTTGGTGTCCACTATGCAATTGTTAGACGGTATATAAGGTTGCTGGCAAAAGATGCACATACCTAGTTAAAGTTAATGGTCACATAATATGCATTTTAGTCTATATAGTGTGGACGGAGATCATTTTTCTTTTTTGAAATGTAACAACATTTATCTGGAGGAGGTGCATTTTTATTCTAATGACTGTTTTAAAATTATGACACATTAGTGTAACGCGCACCTAAAGAGTACAAGAGGTCCCAGGTTCAAATCCAAAAAGAGCCCCGACTTTTTATCATTTTTCCCCTTTGTGGAATTGTAAATTACAAATTAGACAGTTTAAGTAATAAACAAATCTCTTATTTTTTGTGCTCATTAATTAATAAACATAGGAGGCAATAAGCCTTCAGGAGAAGGGTAAACCAAAACAACAAACACAACAGGAACTAGCTTAGCAGGAGTACTAAAAAACCTATTTAAGTAAAAGAAAAGAAATAAACAACAAAAGCTTTCCTTAACTTCATCTCTCAAATGGTACAAAAATAAACATGGCACCCTCTCCCTACAGCTTCCTTTAGTAAGTCTAAAATTGTATATAGACAAAGAAACAAAGAAATTATGTTTAAATACCATACATAGAAAGCAGACACACTGCCTGTAAGTTCAACAACACAAGGCAAAACACAAGTCTGTTCTTCACAAGTCAAAACCCAAAACACAAGTCTTTTCTTCAAAAGACAGAAGTTAAATTCTACCTAATAGCTCAATAAACTTCTCACATCACACAACAGGCCAATATCCAAACAGTACCCAACAAACACAAGCCTGGAGCAGGAGAGAAGTGAATGCACACTGCTCTTTTGTAGCAGCGTGTCTCTGCAGCACACTCACACTGATGAGTATCACCTGTGCCTAATCAGCTTCTTCAGGTAATGCAAATGTAGTACATCCGAATTCCATTCATACTTTTCACATTCATACTGTATAGAACATACTTTTCTAATGGCTGATTTGGCCACGTTGAAATTCAAAGGCAGTACCTAATGAGTAGTAAATTTCGGACGCAGCCTTAGGAAGTGGGAGAGAGACAGGTTGTTTCTCAATGTGAGTTCTTCAGCATTGTAGCCTCCTTGTGTTCTCGTGTAACGTCATCATCAACCGTCAAAGTTTAGTTCCAATGATCAAGATCACAAGAACGGAGGACGTGGGAAAGTTCCCAGATGTGTTTTTGATATTGAGGATGCGTGGCTGCAAACTTGAGCACAAAAATTGCTCAAAGTACCAGAAGTCATTGTGGTTAAATAAAGGAGGTGGGATGCACAGCATTCTTTTTATTATAAAAGTTCAAAGATATAACTTTTTTTACCTCAGGAGTTTCCCTAAATGAGGTGAAATAATACATTATTATGAAAATCTTAATAAAGGAATAAACAGATTGAGGGTGTTTTTTTTTTTTTTTTTTTTTTTTTCTGAAATTTGTATAAATTATCTTTATTTGTATCATGCAAAGTATATTTGTAAGGCTTTTGTGCATGTTATATATATATATATATATATATATATATATATATATATATATATATATATATATATATATGTGTGTGTGTATATATATATATATATATATATATATATATATATATATATATTTATATAGAAAAGGGGAAAAACAATAAATTGTTATATTGAATGCTGTAATGTTTAAATAATTGGTAGTTAAAAATACCTGAAGGTCAATTAGGAAGAACGCAGCATCTCATTTCTCAGAGGATGCGTTCTCTGTTCTCGCGGTCTCCCGAGTTTGTTCTTCCCAGATAACTTGGCAAGTACAGTCTTTAAAAGAACGCAAGCCTGTTCTCTGCGTTCTTGTATTTGAGAAACAGCCAGAGAACACAAGGACACAACATAACCACACCCAATGGGCAGTAAACACACAATAAATAAACAATATTGAAAACTTTTAAAGGATGTAACATTATGTAAAAGGATTTTGTTCCACGATGCAGATCTCTTAACTCTTACGTTACTTTTTATACAAGCAATTCCAGCGTTATGGATTTGACATTTGCAGTAAAAACTCAAAACATAAATTCATATGGAAAGTATATGTTAACATTATATTGAAACGTTTGTTTTTATTTTTCCAGAACAACTGACCACAGAGTTATGGGACCAGAAAAATACCAATCTGTTAACATATTTTGCACTTGAAATGTGGAAATAAATCATGTGTTATGGATGTGACCAAAAAAGTATGCGAGTTTAGAGCATATGCTTCGTAGACATTTTGTGTATTAAACTGCACAACCCCTGCAAAAAAAAAAAAAAAAAAAAAACACCAATTGGAAGGATAAAAGTTGGCTCTCTATAGAACAAGCAGGATTGATATTTTTTATTTAATATTTTTGCATTTATGGGAATAAAGCTTTGTTATGGATGTGACAGGTGTGAAATTGTCCCTTGTGTGATTTTGGTAAATCAAACAAAATTGCTTAAAAACATTGACAGAGATATTTTTGAGTATTTCTAAAGTTCTGTAAAATACTTGCTTACACAAAAAAACTTAGAAACTGTTTGGGTATTTTGGTGAAAAAGACATTTTTTCCTCACAAGGTTGAAATTTGCATGGAATTGCTCGTAGTTTTGTCTATGTTTTTGCATTGTACTGTGCTATATTTACAACACAAAGGTGGCACAGAAGTGCTTCTCGAGTTGGGTTAAATGGCTTTTTCACAAATAGTTTAATGCTGCTCAAAGGTGGCATAAATGCATTTACACACCAATTAAAACTGTATATTGGGATAGTAGTGGGTCAGAGAAGGCATAATTTAGCCTGGCTTTTACATGGCATTTTGCCTTTACATTGAATTATGAGCAGGCACACAGCAGCCTTAACTTGGCACCTTTACTCTGCTTTTGCTGAGTCGCTGTTATATCACTGTAATTCCAAACTACAAACACAAAAGCTTTTCTACGATTAAACACTTTGTCTTTTGGCAAGTAATAAAAGTTCGCTGAACCATATCCCTGAATAAATTCAGCTGGCGCACAATCATCTGGCCATTTAGGATGTGCATTTTTTTTGCAGTCCTCATAAATCTACAGCAAGCAGAGGTTGTGTGCGATAGTATACGTGAACATAGCAGTGTGTGAGATTTCGCGTCAGGCAGTGATGGTGTCTCTGGTGTGAAAGAGAAGGCAGCCTGTGGAGTCGCACACTTGCCTAAATAACTGGAAGTAATTTGATTATTCTACCCTTCCAGTCGAGCGCTGAGCTCTTTGACACTATGTGAGACTGGAGCGTTTTAGAGGCCAAAGGGGAGCACAGCTTGTGTGTATTTACACGTGATCCTAGAGCAGTACAAATACAGGGAGTGGACTGAATAAAACCAACACACAATAAGCATTAAATTCAAGTACAAATTGACTTTGGAAAAAAACTATTCAGACATTTTGCTGGTGACTAGATTTGGAATTGATACAAACATGTTCTGTTAAATAATGCTGGTAAATAATTCATGGGCGGTTTATTATCTCAGTGGACTTGTTGTTGTCAGGTGTGGCTAAAAGTTAAATTTGCGTGTTGGGTGCGTCTCACTGAACTATAGCATTGGAGTGTGTTCTGGGGAGGTGCAGTGTGTGTGTTTGTGCCCGGCCTCATGAGATATGAGAGCTGCTGTAGGTTTATCATCCTGTAAGACTGAACTCACTCTTTACCTTATCTGGAGATTATCCAGTCCACTGAGCATAGCAGTAAAAGCAGGACCGGATAAGTCGTGACTGGGCAACTTTCCTAAACGCTGTGGTCTGTGATATAAAGGAAGGTCATGTAATTCTTTATGCACATGCATTAATTGATTGCAGAAATGCTGACATGCATTTTCTGTCATCATTGTTTGTAGCCAGGGTGTTTTCCATTTCTGAACTACAGTATTAGCATTCCTCAGTGCACAAGATACACTGCCAATATTTATTTATGTAATGTATTTTTATTGAATATTGTACAAATAAAGTATTTATTTATTATATTAAGGAATGGCAAATTTTAACTTTTGTTTAACTTGTAAAAAAAATCTATGTATAATATATAAATGTATGTATATATATATATATATATATATATATATATATATATATATATGTGTGTGTGTGTGTGTGTGTGTGTGTGTGTGTGTGTGTGTGTGTAATTAAGAAATTATCAATAAATATAAATGTGTCCTTCAAAAAAAATTTTGTAAATCGAATAAAAACATTAACTAGTTAATCGCACTTTTTTAAAAAAAAATTAATCGCGATTAATTGCATTTAAATAGCTGAAACTTGTAATTTTGGATATTCAAATGTAAAAATTAATGTAAATGTAAGACAAACTATTTAAACTCAAAATATAATTGTTTATTAGAATTTTTGTTTAACTTGTAACACAGTTTTGATGTAAACAACAGACTCACAATAAACCAACAAGTTCCTGACTTGACAGCTATATTTATTACAGAAATGAAAACACTGACATGTTAATGTCATTTGAATTTTAAAACAATCAATGCCAATAAAGAAATTTGTCAAATTTATGTCAAATTTATGTCAAATTTGCTTAAACTAAACATTCTAAAGTATGGCTGTATTTCACAAGGATTCTGTCACAACAATGAGAAGCATACGCTTTTGTTGCGTTTAATGAGGAAACACGCTAAACTTGGAGGGCTCATGCTGAAAGCCAGAGTAATGCGCTGTCTTTGACAGCTCGCGACTTCACAGCTCGAGACTTTCTGAGTAGATTTACATAAGACACCAATACTTCGATTTTAATATGATTAAGAAGTTACTCTTATCTACCTTGTAAGCAGCATTTTGATTGTCTTAAAGGACCACTGAGTCATAAAATGCGGAGGTTTTTCTTTCCGTTCGCCATGCGGTTTTTAAATTCCATTAAAACAGAAGTCGAAAGTCAAAAATGAAACACCCAAAATTGCATGAAACTCTGGAGAGCTTGGTGATGCGACTAATTGTTTTATACTGAAACTTGCCTTCAAAAAGTGCTTCCTTGGTCTTATTTCTTGCATGTTGAACACACGTCCACCACAACTGGAAGTAGAAAAAACCTGCAACTGCGTTAATTTTTTTTAACGCGTTAATTATTTCAAATAAATCTAAGAAAAAGAATCTAAGAAGACGTTCTTAGATTTCTGGAGAGTCAAACAGTATTCGGGTACAGACCTTGAGTTTATTTAAAGTGGAATTAATTGTATTAATAATTCGTTAAAATATTCTACATTAAAGTTATGAATGTTGTCCGTTACATTGCATGTCCTGACTATTGCGCGCGCACACACACACACACACACACACACACACACACACACACACACACACACACACACACACACATTGTGATATCGATGCTAAAACAATATATTGTGTAGCCCTACTTTTATTGATTCAACATGACTAATAATAACATGAATACAGAATAGACTGGATTTATGATTGGAATAAATCCATGTTATTTAATGTGATATTTTCACATAAGTTATATCACACTGAGAAGTGATGCAAACAATTGTCAAATCTCTTTTAATTCTCTTTTGATTTCATGATTATACCAATTAAATTGTCGGCAATCTTTTGCTTAGCTTGTCACTGAACTATGGTTCTGTCTAGTATAATCTACTTTATCTGAAAGCAGTTGCTGGATATTTACAGCTTATTACAGAGTAAATTTTACTTAAAAAATGCACATGAAAATTGTCTTTGATTAATTGGTTAGCTCTAGGCTCTATGTAGTAAAAGCTGCTCCATCTGAAAGCAGGGGCTGGAGGTTTACAGCTAATTACAGAACCGGCTTTACTGACAATTTTTCTGGATGTACCACTTGGCTTTTTGCCATAAAACATAAAAATTATACACAAAACATTGTTTTAAACAATAATAATTTTTTTATTTCGTTAATTAAAAGCAAAACTGATCCAACAGGCACAGGACGTCAACATGATGTTAGATTGACGTTGTACCCCAAAGTTGGGGGACATTGCATTTTGGGTGGAAATGAAAATCGGGTGAATCTCTGAACCTAATGTCAGACCGACATCAGTGTCCAACATCAGACTGATGTTGGATTTTGCTCACCTTGCAACTCAACCTACAATGAAACCAAATATCAATGTCTAGTTATGTTACATCTTGAAGTTGTGTGGACATTACCACTGATGTCTATAAGGCATTGGACTTTGGTTGCCATACCTGATAAAAATATGTCATTATTTGACATCAATATGACGTTGGTTTAAGACAGGGGTCACCAATCTCGGTCCTGGAGGGTCGGTGTCCCTGCTGGGTTTAGCTCCAACTTGCCTCAACACACCTGCCTGGATGTTTCAAGTATACATAGTAGGACCTTGATTAGCTTGTTCAGGTGTGTTTGATTAGGGTTGGGGGTAAAATCTGCAGGACACCAACCCTCCAGGAACAAGTTTGGTGATCTCTGGTTTAAGATGTTGGCTCTGTTGGATTTTGGTCACTTTCCAACACAACCTAATATTAACCAAATATCAATGTCATTTGACCTTGTTATTGAACATCCAAATCAAGTTGTCCTTAGTGGCTAGACTTGAAAATTGGTCACCTAACATCATGACCTAAAACTAACCTAATATTAACGTCTTATGCCTACTGGGGACAGAAAGTGGCTAGGTGAAGCTGAGGGAGCATAAATAAAATATCACCCAGTCACAAGAAAGAGACAGACAAGCATGTAAATATTAATGTGGATGTAGGTATATGGATGTGAACATATTCTTTGGTCAGGAGACCTGGATGAGCCTGTTTTTTTACAGTGGTGGTTATCTTGGAATAACATACCTTGGAATGTCACGACTGACCAATCAGAATCACGTATTCCAGACAGTTATGCAATAAATTGTTACGAGGGACGTTTTCTAATTGCTAAATTGATATTTAAGTGCTACAGCACCCTTAAGAGGAAGATCAATTATGTAATGGCTTAGACAATTAAGCACAATTGAGTTTGTATGACTATTTTTAAACATATTTCCTAACATCTCTGTTTTGTATTCTGTTGAAGGGAAGATTATAAACGTTTAGACAGACATGGTGTTGAGTTAAGAATGGCAGATATTGCACAAGTGTGTGAGCTGGTTCTCTAAAAGGCTGATTAGGTACAGTTATTAGCAGTCGCATAATAATTGTCCTGTCACTACTTAAATGCTTTATCTAGTGTCAGTAAGTGTGCAGTATCTGTCTGTTATCTGTCAGAAGTATTTCTTCACAGACTTAATAACACACAAGGGAACTGTAAACACTATTGTCTTCCTGTCCACTCATGCAGATCTACTATACTGGAAAGTATCAGAGCCTCGGTATCAAACAGGGCGGACCATCGTCTGGGAAGTGGGTGGAGTTGCCTGTCACCAAATCACCCAAGATTGTGCAGTTCTCAGTGGGACATGACGGCTCCCACGCCCTGCTGGTGGCGGAGGATGGGAGCGTCTTCTTCACGGGCTCCGCCAGCAAAGGGGAGGACGGAGAGTCAAGTATGACAGGAATTTTTAACAGGTATCTAAAGATAATGTTGTTTTTGCAAACGCATTCTAAATCTCTGGTTTTTCGTGTTTGTCTTTAGCAAAGAGCAGAAGACAACCAAAGCCCTACAAACCCAAGAAGATGATCAAACTCGAAACCAAGATGGCCGTTTACACAGCCTGCAACAACGGCAGTAGCAGCATCGTCACTAAAGATGGAGAGCTCTACATGTTTGGCAAGGATGCCATTTACAGTGACAGTACCTGTAAGTGTCTGTTAAAGATGGCAGGGGAGAATTGATGGCCTCTGTAAAAAACCATATATCTGTCTCCTCTGGGAGAGATTATTTAGAGCCAGTTCATGATCCACATTCACAAAAAGTGGGTTATATTTAGACACCCTCATATTTGGATGGACATCCGACTATAAATAAATGGCCTCTATATTTTTCTTCATGAAATGGGTTTTCTGCCAGCTTAGCTTAACTGCTGATGTCATAGATGTATTCTTGCAGTTTCTTTTCTACATATAGGGACACTCTAATTCTGAAATCATTTTTTTTTTAATAAAGAAGAAGAGTTTTTGTATATGCAAACATCTTAACTCTGACTTGTCTTAGTTACTGCACATTGTGCTGCATATTCAAATGTGTGTAGCTCATTTATGGCCCGTTTCCACTGAGTGGTACAGTACGGTTCGGTACCGGTCACCTTTATCAGGCTTGCCTTTCCACTGCTAAAACGGTACCAGTGGTGGGGTGTTTGACAAAAAGATTTAGATGATGATTCGCTTGAGGAAATGTCAAAGTAAAGCAGTACGGGATGTTCACATATCAGATGAGAAGCACTTTGCACAAAATAGATGCTTTATACACGAACACTTGTGCATAAATGTTCATTATTAATCTCAACAAAACCTGGTTTGATTATAACTGGAGATCAATCATAGTTCAGCATAGCCTATTGTAACGTCTGCAATTATATAAAATAAATAAATAAAGAAATAAATAAATGCAACATAAATAGACACATACAGACCCTTAGGGCTCTATTTTGACGGTCCATGCGCAGAGCGCAAAACGCAGGGCGCAAATGCTTTCAGGGCATGTCAGAATGCATTTTTGCTAATTTACGGAAGGGAAAATCCGCTTTGTGGCGTGGCGCATGGTCTAAAAGGGTTGAGTTTATTTTCTTAATGAGTTATAGGTGTGTTTTGAGAATAAACCAATTAGAGTCTCATCTCCCATTCCCTTTAAGAGCCAGCAGCGTCGCGCCATAAGCACATTCGCTATTTACAGGACGCAAAGTAAGTCTAAGTGGAAAAACTGAGCATTTCACTAGCAAACAGTTAACAGTTTTTTTTTTAACAGAAAACTGTTAAACAGCATCTACTGCGTGAGAATGAGAGATAATGGATCACTTTCGCTCTTGGATAGGGAAACCTTTACTTACAGATATCAATTAGTCTATAAATAATTAATTGCGTTTAAGCGCAAATATTAGTTTCAAAACTATTTCTAAATTAAGTTCTAATTTCCAGCAAACGAATAAATGAACAATATTAACGAAGTGTGTTCAAAAACCTGAGTTATATCCTAAAACACATGCTGTGCCCCTTATGGTCTAAAACCTGACAGGTGGACAAATCTAAGCTTGTTTTTAACAAAAAAATATAAATATGGATATAATAAATAATACTGCTAATAATAATAACATTATACAAAAGCAAATTGTTATGAATGAACTGAAAAAGCCTCCCGAGATGAAGAAGACATAAAAGCTGTGATTTTTCATGTTTATGTAGGCTAGAAAATAATATGTTTTGTAATATTTTAATCCTTTATATTTATATCCTATATCTATTCTTATTATATCCTAAATATATCCTTAATATTTAATTTTTTTCATATGTAAAGATATTTGCCTATTGCTCACTTGTGCGTATTAAGCAGTGTGTAAGCAAGGCGCAACTCTGCGCCGGAGTTTAGACCGGGTTTGTTTTGGTCTAATGAAAAATCTATTATAGTTTCCCAAAATAGCAACGCGCCAGCAGTGCGCCTCAGAACGCCTTCCTTTTTAGACCAGAACACCTATGGGCGCACATATGAGCGCAAATGCATTTGCTATTTAAACAGCGTAGAGCAACGCCTCAAAACGACTCTTGCGCCAAGCTGAAACTACCAAACAAGTATTGCGCTGCACCTTGCGCACCATTGCGCCGGGTGTATGATAGGGCCCTTAGAGTCTCCGCTGTGTTATCAATTACAGAAAAACTACACACAACATATATTTAGTCCTTAATTGGGTTCAAAAACAACATCAACATGTAGCCCAGTCAGTGCAAACCTCTCATCTGTGTCTGTAATCTTCAGCAGCACATGTAACATATTGTTGGAAAGTAATTCCATCATTCTGAGTTCATAATAGTCCAAAAGGCGATGATAATAGTTAAACATGGCAGTTTGTTTATGTTTTAGGTTGCTGAATCATTTGCTCCTTTGTTTTTTCGACTTTTCCTTTGTTTTTTAGTGCTTCACTCTCGTGTTTGTCCTTTTCTGAAAGGATCTGACGTCAGAAACACTTCAATAATCACATGTAAGAAGTTCGTTATTTCAATTAGAGACGCGCGGCAAGCTCTCAAGAGAAAGTAAAACCACTCGCACTTTTAGACTGGCTCATAAAACATAATCAGGACACAGCAGAATTTGCTCTTCTTGGCTTTTTGGCTGTTTATCAAGATGCCAACAAGGTTTGTTTGAGCTCGGGTCGACCATGGCTTATTATTATATGTATATAATATAACAGTGTAATGTCTCGGCTGTGTTTTTAAAAATGGCGGTTCCTTTGTTTTCATTCTCCTGGTTGTGGCATTCGGTGGTGAAGTATCTGTGGAAACCGATAGCTTTCAAGTGCGCATCTTGCTCCGTCTTTTGGTACCATTTTGTTGTGCTTGGTACACTTTGCAAAGGGTACCCAAAAAGTGGTACAGTACAGTTTGCTTTTTGGTACCTTTTGACAGTGGGAACAGGCGTAAAATTGAACCGTACCGTACTGTACCACTCAGTGGAAATGGGCCATTAGCAGTAAGTTTTTTTGGTCCCTCATCACTCAAAAAAAAAAAGAAAAAACTTTATTTTTTTCTTTTTCAAAACGAGTTGAGCTGAAACAACAAAATTGAGATTTTGATGGACCAGCTAAAGGTTTTTTATGTTCAATCTACATAAGTTTGTTAAGTTAACTTAATTGATTTGTGTTGTGGATCCCTGCATTTTTTACACTGAAGGTCACCTTACAAGTCACTCAAAAGCATCAATATAAAGAAAGCATACTAAAATGCAGTGTTTCTCAACCACATTCCTGGAGGAACACCAGCTCTGTACAATTTACATGTCTCCTTAAAGGTGCAGTAAGTAATCTGCGACAATGCTAACTGGCTAGCATAAATCTCTGGAAAACAGTCCCACTCCTGCCGTCCAAAGCCACGTCTCCTGAAATAGAAGCGTGCACCTTAAAGATGACACCAGAATCCTCACTAAGCGAGTAGTGATTGGCTGGCAGCGTGCAAGAATTACACTCCTTGCTGAGCCATACTTGTGTGACAAACGAGACATCCTGAACATGCAGTATTGGTGGTCCTTTAGAAACGTGGTTGAGAAACACTGCTATAATGTAAATGAAAACATATAACAAATATTGTATATAAGACCAAAACATTTATTTTCTTACTATTTAAGTGGTTTCAAACCCTTATGAGTTTCTTTCTAGTGTTAAGCACAGGGAAGATATTCTGAAGAACGCTGAAAACCTGTAACCGTTGACATCCATAGTAGGAGAAGTAAATACAAATGGTTACAGGTTTCCAACATTTTTTCAATTTTTTTGTGTTTAAAAGAAGGTAGAAAGTCATAAAGGTTTGAAACAAGTAAAGGGTCAGGTAATTGACTGTTCATTTTTGGGTCAACTATCCCTTTAAGACTATCGCATTTTCCAAAAATTTGCATAAAGCCCCCCATACTGTTTAGGTGGATCTGAACTTATATAAAGGGATATAAATTTGAAAAAGATCAGAAAAATATGAAAGTGTTTGATTTATTAAAATATTGTAGGAAAGGAGCAAGATGTTAAAATCAATTTGATGTTTTACCAGGAAGCTTTTGCAAATGAGCAGCGCTCTGAGAGTGATTCTAGAAATCAGTTATGCAGCTGAATCCTGGGCTAGCTGCCGTGTGTGTAGAAATGTAGCCATCAGCGTAGCAATGCAAAGAAATGCTGTACTTCCTAAAATTATGTTCACAAGGAGCAAAAATAAATAACAAATGAAAGAGGGCCCCAAACAGAGCCCCGCAGAATGCCGATGTTAGCCTGAAATGTTATATCTTCTTATTATAATCTTGGTTAACATAAGAGTGTATCATCCATGACTTTATAGCTACATTTTGACCAATTTGGAGCACAAATCAAAAATAGGAAGTGATGTCATACAGATACAGTATACAATACAGATACAGATGAGTACAGGCATTAAAAATTCTTCATGTTGCAGATCACCATGTGTTCGATAAAGGAATTCTGCATTCTCTTTTGACTTCTTTACAGTGTTAATTTTGACAGCATATTCCATTTTAGTTTTAGTCATATTTTAGTCTTCTGGATCATTTAAGTTTTAGTCTAGTTTTCATTCATTCATTCATTTTTTAACCGCTTTTCCAGGGCCAGGTGGCTGGGGCAGCAGTGTTGCACCCCATTCACACGGGGCGTCAGCTTCAATGCTTCCAATTCACTGGTGACGTCAAGCGTTGCCGAAATGCAATATGGATCCGTCGGCGCCACTTCAGAGGCATTGCTCGCTGCAAAAGTTGAGACTTGCTCAACTTTTTAAGCGCCGACGGAAGCGTCAGCCAATCAGTTTGCTGTATACAAATACACCAGCTCAGACAGTGGCCTATTGCTGACTAATTTCATTGGCTGACACTGCTATGACGATCGTGTCAGCCCCAACCTCAGACACGTCCTCTGTCAAAAGTTGATGCTGAAGCCTCGTGTGAATGGGGCATTAGGAGAGAACCCCAGACTTCCCTTTTCCCAGACACTTCCTCCAACTCCTTTGGGAGGATCACGAGGCGTTCTCAGACCAGCTAAAAGACATAGTCCCTCCAGCGTGTCCTGTGTCTTCCCTGAGGCCTCCTCCTGGTGGGACATGCCTGGAAAACCTCCCTAGGTAGGCGTCCAGGAGACATCCAAAACAGATGTCCGAGTCACCTCAGCCTGCTTCTCTCGATGTGGAGGAACAGCGGCTCTACTCCTAGCTCCTCCCAGGTGACAGAGCTTCTCACCCTATCTATAAGGGTGCAACCTGCCACCCTTCAAAAGAAATTCATTTTGGCCGTTTCTATTGCAGATCTTGTCATTTCGGTCATGACCCAAAGCTAATGACCATAGGTGAGAGTAGGAATGTAGATTGCCTGGTAAATCAAGAGCTTTGCCTTTCGGCTCAACTCCTTCTTTACCACAATGGACGGGTACATCGGCCACATTACTACTGTCGCTGCACCAATCCGCCTGTCAATCATGTTGTTCATGTTCCATCCTTTCCTCACTCGTGAACAAAACCCCAAGATACTTGAACTCTTTCACCTGGGGTAAGGACTTTCCTCCAACCTGGAGAAGGCAAATCACCTTTTTCCGGTGGAGCACCATGGCCTCGGATTTGGAGGTGCTGATTCTCATCCCAGCTGCGTCACACTCGGCAGCAAACAGCTGAGCTGGTCCAGTGTAGCATGGTCTGTACGACTGCATTGTTCTTCCTGGATCCTCTATGCAACCATCGGCCGGATTCTCCTTTCCAGTACCCTTGCATAGACTTTCCCAAGAAGGCTGTGGAGTGTGATCCCCCTGTAGTTGGAGCACACCCTCCGGCCCCCCTTCTTAAAAATGACAACCACCACCACAGTTGCCCAGTCCATAGGGACTGTCCCTGACCTGATTAAGATCACCGTTAATCGGTTCTGCACAGATTTTGCCCATCTCCAAGAGTAGGGTCTGTCTGCGGACTGCAAAACATGGTCATAACATGAAGGGCCCTAAGGGGCGTAACTTGTTTTACATTACAGGCACAATGCAAAGTTATGGAGACATGTCAAAACTATTTTGTTGGCAAGATGGCACTGTACATCAGTTATTATTGTCTACACCTACTCCACACCTAAACCTAACCATCACAGTTATTAACGTCTACACCTACCCCAACCCTAAACCCAACCATCACAGTTATTAACGTCTACACCTACCCCAACCATCACAGTTATTTACGTCTACACCTACACCTACCCCAACCCTAAACCCAATCATCACAGTTATTAACGTCTACACCTACCCCAACCATCACAGTTATTTACGTCTACACCTACACCTACCCCAACCCTAAACCCAATCATCACAGTTATTAACGTATACACCTACCCCAACCATCACAGTTGTTAACGTCTACACCTACCCCCAACCATCACAGTTATTAACGTCTACACCTACCCCAACCCTAAACCTAATCATCACAGTTATTAACGTATACACCTACCCCAACCATCACAGTTGTTAACGTTTACACCTACCCCAACCATCACAGTTATTAACGTCTACACCTACCCCAACCATAAACCCAATCATCACAGTTATTAACGTACAGCCGTGAGTTGCCAAGGCTTTCATACTTGACACGCTCACAAATATATTGTTAATTGCAACCACAGGGGGTGACGCTGACTAGGCTAACTGTCATGACAAAATGAATGAAGAAGTCAGCGAGTTGCATGATGGAGTTGCTAAATTAATGAATATAATAATATATCAAATTAATTTGTTGAGGATAAATTTGAAGAAAACTTCTGAAAACATTTGATGAAAATGTTTTCTATCTTGCCAACAACATCTCGTTGTGACATCTCAAATGGTTCAATGGGATCTCAATAACTGCAAGTTATGCCTCTAACTTACAACAAGTTGCACCAAGATTTATTTTAATTGGATATTTACCAAAATATATCCCTCAATCACATTCTTGTCAAAAACTTCAGTATGTTTTTATTGTAGTTGTCATCATCATCACTTAATTTTTATTTAGTTTTTGTCTAGTTATCGTCTGTAAAAACTTAATGTCTTTGTGGGTTTTAGCTAATACAAATACTTAAAACAGCACTATCAGTGTAGTAGTGCAAGGACATGCTGTACTTCCTAACAATATGTCCACAAGGAGCAAAAATAAATAACAAATATAAGTGGGCTCAAAACCGAGTCCTGCGGGACACTGGTGGTAGCCTAAAATGCCAAATCTATTCATTATAATCTTGGTTAACATGAGAGTGCATGATTCCTCTCTTTATAGAGACATTTTAGCCAATTTGAAAAATAGAAAGTGATGTTAAAAGATGCACTATTATTTTTTCTTGTCGTAGGATCTACATTTCCCATTACAGATCAGTACAGGCATTAAAAAAGTCTTGATGTTGCAGATCATCATTTGGGTTTGATAAGGGAATTTTGGGTTCTTTTGATTTTATTTAAACATTTTATAATATCTTTGTGAGTTTTAGCTGATAAAAATACTCAACGCTGCATTGTTTTATTCACAAAACACATATCTCTGAAGGTTCTGTCTTTGGTCTTGATCAAAATAACTAAGTGAACCAAACTACTAGTGATTTTTTTTTATTACACAAAATGAATAAAGATGACAAGTAATGTTAGTTGCTTTATTGTGTATTATTTTCTGTTGTCTTTACAGGCCAGGTATCAGATTTGAAGGGACACTTTGTAACTCAGGTAGCCATGGGAAAAGCTCACACCTGTGTCCTGACCAAGAGCGGGGAGGTTTGGACCTTTGGAGTGAACAACAAAGGCCAGTGTGGTCGAGACACTGGAGCTATGAGCCAGGCAGGGAAAGGTGAGAACGGCTTCTTACTTTTCACACCAGCCATGAAAATATACACTGGCAAAGACCCTGAATATTCCCAGGCTCTTTAAACAGAGGATTTATCTGGAAAGTCTACCTTCTGACACTTTTCAAAATGATCAACGAGAAGTCAAGTTAATATTTGTTGCACTTACAAATCGATGACAAAACTTTTGTCAGGTAGCTTAAATGTAGAAAACAGATGAGATGTTTAATAGGAGTATAATAGGAATATAACTATAATAAATATAATATAACTGTGCTATATATAGTTCAAAGTTTTTTATTTTTTACCTTGGCAGCCAAGGCTGATATATCTATTTATTTGGCTTTTTTTTTAATTTGGCTTTTTTAATGATCAGATTATGTAATAAAAAAGTTCTTAATTTTAGACTTTGAAAAGTATTTGCTGAAATATTACATTCTAGGCTCTTTTAAATATTTGTTAATGGGCCTCAACTGTTTTGTGTCCATGTAACGGTAACTCTAATGCTCATTTTTCTCATAGGACTGTCTTCAATTTTGTATTAAATAACATTTTATAAATAACATTTCTTTTATTATTGTTAGTATTATAGTTCTTATTTTTTTCCCAAGATAAACCTGTATAAACCCAGTATTATTATTATTATTTGCAAACTAAACATGATAGCATAAAGTGCAGAAAAATAAAAGCTGATTTCATTTATTTATTTTAAATAATGTAATTATTGTAAATACATTTACAGCATAGTAGGGCTGCACAATCCACAATAGTCATATTGCAGGATCTGCAATGTTTAATAGAGATTGTTTTCGACCAGCTGCAGATCAGAACATGAGATTTACAGAGTCAGTGAGGATGTTTACCATAAATTATGAAGCAAAAGTTTATCATTTGTATGCGTTTTAAGGCCTGTGACTGTATGAACATATTGAGAGAGTTTAGGGTAGGTTCATTCAGGTCGTAAGGAATTGTATTGTAAAATGGATTGTAGAATTATTTCTACAATGAAGACTATGCAATGCTATTTTACATTGGATTATTAAATTTTTTCTGAATTCTTTCCAAATAGCGCTTTTTAAGCCAACTGGTAAAATTATATTCATATCTCAATATAAAATAGTTATATAGTTATATAAAACATAAAAACAAAACATCACAATGTCAGATTTTTACAAAATCATGCAGCCCTACTGCATGCTATTATTAGCATGTATACTGTATATAACCATAACTAATATTCTGTTAGTTATGGTTATTTACAGTGTACATCTCCTTCAGTCTTCCTGTCATGCTGTAATTTTCCAGTCTGTGTTCTCAGCTGAGTTTAAACACGTGTTTGTGATTATCGTATTCCCCCCCCCCTGCTTTAGCGTTTGGAGTGGAGAACATGGCCACCGCTATGGACGAGGACCTGGAGGACGAGCTGGACGAGAAGGAGGAAAAGTCTATGATGTGTCAGCCTGGCATGCACAAGTGGAAGCTGGACCAGTGTATGGTGTGCACTGTGTGTGGAGACTGCACTGGATATGGGGCCAGCTGTGTGAGCAGTGGCCGACCTGACAGAGTGCCAGGAGGGTGAGAGAAGACAAACAACATATACTAACAGCTCCACAACAAGATCACAATAATCTAAATATTCACAACATCTTAAATGAGAAATTGAGTAAATTTTTTAGTTGACTGCGCTAAATGGATTACAAAAGACGTGACTAAAAAGAGTAATAATAATACAATAGTTCACCTAAAAATGACATTTCTGTTATCATTTACTCACCACCCACTTGATTCATACCAGTTTGAGTTTCGTTCTACTGTTCAACACAAAAATATTCTGGATAGGTATTCTGAAAAATACTGGAAACTGGTAGCTCTTGACTTCCATAGTTTTTTTTTTACATTATGGATGTCATTAGCTATGTTTTCATCCAAAGATGTGAATAAAATTTATGCACAAAACTGGAATATTGCATAAAAGACGTGCGAATAAAGCAACAATTTAGTCCAGCGAGTCAAAGAGAACAAAATCATCATTTCCTGATTATCTGGCATCAAATATCAACAGTAAAAACGGAATTTGCTGCGTTAAGAGAAGCTGCGTGAATCTTTTCTTCATTTAATAAATGACTTACCCCTCAGAAGGCAATCCTGATACACAGTGAACGCACGGTGGCGTTTGAAGGCGTGAGACGCAGAGCACAGATGCTCCTGACTCTGGAGGTCATTAATAATATAACAACACTAATACTAAATGGTTAAGGCATATTAGAATGACCAAAACGACATTTCAGATGCTTTACAACGTGTTCAGCTTGATGGTTTGTCCATTCACACATTTTTTAATGCGCATACTGGAATTTGTTTTTTTTAAAGTGTTTACATTATAGTTTATGCTCATCTTTTCTTATCTTGGGAATTATTTTAAAAAGGAAAGAAGTTCAAAGGGGGTTTAATAATTTAATAATTTCAACTGTCTATATTTATTTATGTTTCAAGTACTTATATGCACAATTTCAGTTCCACGGTTCAAATTTCACTTCCACAATTGCAGTAATAATAGCCATCATTTATTCATCTTTGTGTGTCCTCTGCAGGATCTGTGGCTGTGGCTCTGGCGAGTCGGGCTGTTCGTCATGTGGCTGCTGTAAGGCTTGTGCCAGAGAGCTGGATGGTCAGGAAGCCAGACAGAGAGGAATCTTTGATGCTGTGAAGGAAATGATACCGCTGGACCTGCTGTTAGGTACATCCAGAGGTGTCATCCAATCACGTTCACTCCAGCTTCATAGCCGTCAGATCACTTCTCTAACCTGTCCGAGGGCCCACTCATGTCATATGTTGAACCATACTGTCTACATTCATCAAATCTTTTCAGATTAGGGAAGGGCAGAATGATAATGCAGCAATTATATATTAAACAAACAGTGTTTTTTTTTTTTGTTTACCCGCTAACTTCATAATGGTAATAGACAACTATTTTTAATAATAATTGGCAGATGAAAGCAGATTACAGTCAATTTATGCTAGACAGTGTTGGGAAAGCTACCTGAAAAATGTAGTGAGCTAAGTTATTAGCTTCTCTACTTAAAATGCATCTTAACTACACCGAAAGCTACTCTCTGGGAAATGTAGCTAGCTAAGCTAAAAGCTATTTGGCAAAAGTAGCTTAGCTACATCTAAGCAATTTTTGCAATTTTCATTTTTAAACTGATGCAACCTAAATCCAAGTCAATCATATCTAAGTGATCAATAAAACTGTCAATGAGACATATGAGGAAAAATTGTTCGGTTCACTTATTTATTGCAAATAATATGCGGCACTAAACAGAAACTAATTATAGTATACTGTTTAACAGCAAAAACAGAAAAACTTGTAAAACCAGGTGTTACACATTTAAAATACTATAAAAATTTATAGTAAAGAGAAATATTTAGGAATAAGCATTATATTGTGTATATATTTACAACTCTTCATTAATAAATTACACTACATAATGTAGCATCATTAGTAACTATCAAAAACCATATATTCCCATGTACTTTAGCCTTGACTACAATAAACTACACACACACACACACACACACACACGCACATATATATATATATATATATATATATATATATATATATATATATATATATATATATATATATATATATATATCACATCTATATATTACATATGTAATATGCCAATAGACAACTAGATGCTGAGCCGGCATTGCCGATCCTCCGCCCCCATCGCAAGCCCGCTCGCGAAAAATACACTTAGGCCTCATTTACACTAATACATCTTAGTGTTAAAATAGCATTTTAGAACGAAAATGATCCTGCAGTCAGATAGCAGTACACGTCGGACAGTTTATCAAAGATGTACCACTGGATCGCATCTCACTATAGTTGTTAAAGTTCCGGGAGTCTCTATGCATGTGCGGAACACGTAATGCCCGAAAATGAGTGATAATCTCCCGGAAACCGTGAGTCTCCCTCCCTCCCGGTCCTCAAATAAGTCGCGCACCCTTCTCACCCCCGAATCACTCCTAGCTCTTCAGACAAGTAGCGCACACAATATCAAACTCCCCCCATCAAACATCGTATGATGCCAAATTGGTCGACATCGCCCAACCCTAATATATATAGGAACCATTTTCACAGTCTGTGGTGACGTGACATTTTTAAGTTTACTTTAAAACCCAACAGTCAACTTTATCAAATGAAATGAATGTAGTTACTCAAAATTGACTGAAAGTTAATTCTACTCATTTGAATGGAGTTTTAAACTCTGTGTTGAAGGTAATGAGTTAATAAAATATCTCATTGCTTTAATTTAAATGGAGTAGGTTCACAATTTTCATATAGATTAGTTTTTGAACTTAAATGGCTTGTTGCAATCAGTTTCCTCAACCGTTTTGAGTTACGTTATCTTTTTGGGTTTTACAGTGCAGCTAACATTGTAAAACCTTTATTTACTTATTTATTTTTAATTTGGAATAATGTGCATATTGCGAAATATTATCTAGCCTAGAAAGTTAAGATTAGAAAACTAGTAAATGCTGTGTTTCAAATAGAACATCTAACCGCAAATCTGATCAGTGTATTTGATATTTCATCTTTTTGTTTCTATTTTTTATGTTATTTTTGTAATATTTGATCCAGTGGAATCTTTTATAGAGCTGTGTTTGCTTCTTTAAGAATTCTGGAAATGTATAAATACAAATTAGGTTGGTTTTTGATCACAAAAAAAGTATTCATAAAAATCACGTTGGTCCATATCTTATTTCAACAATCCGCTATGGTGGAAGACGTCATTCTGCCCAGTCCTAATGGACATCATCGATCACTGGCTGCTTTGGCAGTGTTGTGTCTGTATAATTTCCAAGTGATGCAGTGTTTGTGTGTGTGTGTTTTTGTGTGCGTGTGTGCGTATGTGTGTGTTTTTTTTTGGGATCACCTCTCTGCTCTTGTTCTCTCACTGTCTTGCATTGCATCTCATGCTCATCATTCACCTGCCTGTGTTGTTTCTCATTTGTCTCCTCCATTGGCGCGGCCTGTGCTGGACCTCTGTTATTTTAGCTGTGCCTGTCCCTCCTCCCCCAGGCGTCAATATAGAGGAGCACATCCAGATTCGACAGGAGGAGAAGAGACAGCGCATCAACCGCCGCCACCGGCTGGAGGAGGGCCGAGGTGAGACGACTACATGACCAGACCCCAAAATAATCCAAGACACCCTTTAGAATAATAGTGTGTTGCTGCATTGTAATGATTTTTTTACAATTTAAATAGCATTACTCAAAATCAGAAATGGGTGATTATTTTGAAACTATATAACTACCAGTTTAATGTCATGTTTTATTCAGGGTTTTTTGATTAATATTTTTTAAATATAAGTTTTATAGTGTATTTTACTTTATTATGCTAATATTTTATTTATATTATTATTTATATAAGATAACATTCATTGTCACTTTTGACCATTTTAATGGATTCATGCCGAAAGGAATAGTTCACCCAAAACTACAAATTCTGTAATCATTTACTTCTTTCACTTGTCGCAAACCTTTTTATTTTTTTATTTTTTGAATACAAAAGAAGACATTTGAAAACCTGTCGCTGAATACCTGTGACCTTCATAGTATGTTTGTTTCCCTACTATGGAAGTCAATATTTTACAAAAGTAAAACTTATGCTGGGTTTAAACTAAACCAGGAGCACAATGTAACTAGCTCTAGTTTACTCGCGGGATGTTTTTTTTCCCCTTAAGTGAATTGAACTTCCCTTAAGTAAATTTCCTAGCGTTATGCTTTATTTGTGCCACAAAGCGACAATTCACCTCTATTTGTGTGTTTGAATTGTATTTGTGTTTTGAGTCATAAGGTTGGATGAGACACTCGTGCGAGTTGCACCAATAGACAATATAAAAAGAGGTCACACCATATCTGTATCTATTTAGCTGCTGTGATGCGATTGCAGCAAACGCTCATGCCCCCATACATCATTTACCTCCTCATGTGTTAGTAGCTACTGTATGTGTAACCCGTTTGCACACGTGCGTCTTCCTCTGCATGTAATTTCATAAACAAGCACTTGCGATCAGTTCATGAGATCGGCCAGATTAGCAAGTACTGATTGAGTCATGAAATGTAATTATCGGCCGATGCCGATCGATCGGAGCATCCCTAGTTTTTACCCAGTTTTTGTTGTTTTATGTTAAGTACATAGTATGTATACAAGTTGGCCACCTATTTTTTTGTAGTGTAATATGACATAATAGTAGACTTGAAATGCTGCTTGGTTACCCCTCACCCAGAAACATCTAATCACAATCCATTCTTCAGCACACTTCATCATACATTCACAAATAATTCATACAAGTTTCTTTTGAGTTCAAAGATGGAGTGTTATCGCTTCAGTTACAGCCCAAAGCAGATCACCACTGTTACTTTCTACCTTACACATGCTTGTTTCTTCTGGGAGTGGGTTGCTTGTGAATGTTCCCTTTTTTGCTTCTTTTTTTCATGATGTTTTCATGTGTTATATGCCATGTTTTATTTTCCATTTGTGAGATGCTTTGCCCCATGCATGTGAAAGTTTCTCTCTCCCCCCATAGGCCCCCTTGTTTTCCCTGGTCCCCTTTTTATGAACCAGCGTGAGCAGGTGCTAGCCAGACTAAGACCTCTTCAGGCTGTTAAGCTAATGCGGGAGAAACTAAAAGGTACTGCGGTCTTCACTACAGGCTCCACCTGGAGCCCCATAATGCCCCTCTCTCTGCCTTTTTCTTCAAACAAACTCTTCTAGCTTTCTCTAGACACAATATTCTGTCTTATTCTGTCTCTCTGGTCAAAAAAAAAACAAATACCACTCTTTATTTTACTGCTACTTATTTACAATTGTGAGTTGGCCTCATGCTGTAAACTGTGCTACTGCTGTCAGGTGAAAAGTATCAGTGTTACGATATTTGATTAAATCACATGCCTTATTTAGAGGGGGATTAGATTAGTGTCATGCGGTGTTAATTGTTAGTGGGGAAACAGTGGCCAAAATTGGTATTCCTGCTTAAAATAGCACCGGCATTTCATCTTTTTTAAGATATCATTTTTAGTCAAGCATAGTTTTCACTAGGGCTTAAAATAGATCCTAGTGCATTGCCGATATAAATAGAATAGCATGCCTTGAAGTTATTTTGAGGAAGATTGCGATAATAGCCAGTCTAAATCGTCATAATATCATAATCTGTGATATTATTTGGCCAATCCAGAATATAATTCTGTGTCAGAACTCGTTATCATTAAAGAGGTCATAAACTGCCTTTTTTTTAAAGAATGTTGTCTGAAATCCTCTTATAACGTTATAAATCTTCATGTATTAATAATAATAGTAATTTAGGAGTGAAGTGTCACTGTTTATTGATGGATTCTGCCACCTAACAATCTGTAAGAACAGAAAGCAATAATGTCCATGCATTAAAAACTTATTACATGTGCCATTGCTGTTGGAATTAACATAAAATTGTGCCTTGTTTGTAAATGACTCCATTATAAAATATAGGGAATAAAGAACCAGCTTCTTACCGATGCAGTCTTAAAAGTGCTGTAGGTGATGTGCCAAAATGCTAATGCGTTAGCATAAGTGAAGTTTATTTATAAACAAATTTGGAGAGGATCACATGCTTCAATTCATGATTCAACAATCAGACGATTCCTAAGCCACTATAAATACATTAAGTTCCATATGACAGCCATCTTCATTTTGAAGAATCCCCCCTTCCACCCCTACTCCTCCTCCTTTCCTAGATGGGTGGCACAGTGGCCCAGTGGTTAGCAGTGTTGCTTTACAGCAAGAACGTCACTGGTTCTAGTCCTTACCAAGCCAGGCAATGTTTCTGTGCTGAGTTTACACTTTCTCCCCATGCTCATGGGTTTCTCCGGTTTCTTCCCACCGTCAAAAAACATGCAAAAAAAACATGCAACTTAAGTTAATTGACTAATTCAAATTTGCACCATAGAAATGCTCCTAGTAAATAGTTATCTCTCAAGAGCAGTCACTATCTGTTCATTAGCTACTTCAGCAGGGGAGTTCTCAAGATCTACCTGAGCTCAAACTCCTCTCTCGTCTTGCAAACGGGAGGGAGCCCCGCGCTTGAGGACTTTATGAGCTTTATGGCTCTCTCCCGGGCCAGCATGCCAAACAAGCTTCATAATTAATCATCAGCTAAGTGTGAACTCTTGAATAGCTTTGAAAACACAATCCCTCCCCAGCCGTCCAAAGCATTGCCTTTTAAAAATCATGAACGCGCACCTTAAAGATGACCGTAGACAACCCACTAGATCATGTCATTTGCTAGTTTAAAAAAATACAGTACTTTTATAATACTACAATTCCCAATGAAATTTCATGCATGCAAAGATCGCTGGTCTCACTCTCTCATGCGCTTTTTCCTAAAGCGACTACTGTATGTTTAGTGGTTGGCCAGTGATGTGCAGGAATTACACTCATTATTAAGCCAGACTTGCATGCTATTTTAGATAGAATTTTTAAAGTAACATGGTAAACAAATGGGGAGCGCATCACAGGTTGTCATTGTTCAAAAATGAATCAATGTGAATATAAAATCAATTCAATTCAGCTCAGTAAAGCAGGCTAAACGGAAGAGGGTTATTTACTTGTTTTTTTAGTTAAACTAAATAACAATCAAACTGAAAATAGTCTCATCAAGCTTTCACTGGAAGATTTCAGTGGCTGAACAACACTTCTGTGCTTATAACCCATTCATAAAAACAACGCTATCTACTTAAGCTAACATTTCCTGTCTAACAGAAATACTTTAGCCATGGTGTCATCCTTTCTCCAGTGTGCAAAAGTAACTCCAATATTGATTCAGGATTTGTTTTTACTGCTGTCACACTCTTGTGTGCATGTGAACGTGCGTGCAAGTGCAAACGGGAGGTCTGTCTGCATGAATGGGGTGTGCAGATGTTCAAAGCTACATTTGTTGACAGGCAGGTTTGGGCTACTTATTAGAATACTGGGAATTGTCTGCGGCTCGACAAATTTGATGAACATTTTTTAGTCTTATGCCTTACCAAGGATATTAAATGCATATAAATACATTTAGGTCATTGTCATTGATATTGGAATGTGAAGAGACTTTCAACCAGCACAACAAAAAATGTTTCTGAAAACAATCACCTACTGCATTTTTATTAAAAATAAAGTTATGAAAAAGGAAAAGAAAGAAGGTAAGGAAAGGAAGGAACAATATCTTTAAAGTTTTGGTTTGTTGTGATGGACCTGCGGTATGTTGAAGTAGGCGGAGGTTTTTTTGCCCACACTTTAACTAAGTGACAGATTTCACAACCTGTCATTTTGGAATTTTGTCAGCTTCGTTTTAATCTGTCATCTGTTAATTTTAGTAGCGTAATATCTATACATTGCACTGCAGTTGTCTTATTTTGGCCGTTAAACATCTGCAAGCAACTATTGTGTGATTATTACATGATACGTAAGTGTGGCTTGGGGGCTCTGCCTTCTTTTATTTAGAAATCTCCTCCAGTTCATGTAATCTGTTTATTCTGCGAAGTTAGATGAGCAAAAAACACCAAAGAAATCTTTCTGGAACATTTAGTTTATTCCTTTATTATATTTCAGACATTTTTGACACTTTTAATTTATTTTATTTGTCCTCTGAATCAAATTTCAGAAAATTTTCTCACAACAATTTTCTGATACTTTATATCTAATACAGCTGATTTTACAAAACAAAACCATTTTATTAACAGTAAAATGTTATTCGAAAGGCATCATTTTACCAACGTTGCCATGACAGCAGCAGCACTGTTACTAGCAAGCAGCAGGAACTAGTATACTGTGTAGCAAAGTCCTGTTGGTGCATTATTTAAGTAGATTTTTTTCTTTACAGTGAGCATTTGCAGTTCATGCATTCACAGTTGTTATCGTCATATCGACTAACTAAACTCCTTTGGTTTCGTCTTTGTAAATGTATTTAATATTTACTGTAATATTAAATACCCTTTAAAAGTAAATCTATTTGCTTCGCGCTGCCAGTTTTACGACAGGTGTTTGACCTGTACGGCACCTCAGAGTCTGTAATCCTAATGCCTTTGGTCAGATCAAGCCGGTCCTCCTCAAGTCATCCTCAATGTTACTCCTGAGAGTTCCTTGCAAAAACAAAGAGTTGATGTGACAGAAGCATGGTGAAAATATTACATTTGTCCCAAGCAGACAGTTAAAAGTAATAATTCAACACATTTGTGCTCAATAATGGGTTTTATTTCTATATTAGTGATTGCGTTCATGAAAGAATCGTTCTTTTTAACCTGATCTTCTAAGTAATTGTATGTTTATTTCATAACAGAAAGTCGTAATAAAATTTAAATAAGTGAATCATGCTTCAGTTGGGTTGCAAAACGTAAATGTGAGAAACTTGTCAGATCATTGTTTTAACTGACTGAAATTCCAAACATAGGAAGATTGTCTCAAATGATCTGGTGTTCATTAAAGATCCGAACTTTACATCACTACTGTTTATCTAATCCCAGAAGCAGTCTTGCACACATATTTTACTTAAGGCTGCTATCTTGTGGGCTGTTGTATTGTATTGAGGATGGGTAGGTGGTAGTAATAGATGGTAGTGTTTCTGTGTCAAAAAAATGTAGCCTATCTTTGGTTGAGTTTTTATTGTGCAATATTTATTCTGATGATTTTGAATCTTGCACCTAACAAATATCCTAATTTACAAAAAACAACAATCAAAACACTAAAACTAACACTGAAACGAATACAAACTAAACTAAAACTTAGCAATTTCAAAATATAAAAACTAGCAAATCTATCTCTAAAAACTTTATTTAAATTAAAGCTAACTGAGTTTGAAAACAAAAAGTCAAAACCAAATAAAACTAAAACTAATGTAAAATCCAAAACTATTATAACCTTGTCATGCATAGACAAATATACAGGTACAAATGCGGAATATCCATATTGAGCTACTTTGTCAGCACACAAGCTAGTCCCTTTAATTCAAGCTAGTTCTGTTTTTTCTCTTTCACCATTTTAACTAGTAAAAAAAATGGTACAAGTTTCAGGTAATTTTTTGCACAGACATCAGTGGAACACAGAGCTGCACTTATTTGTACACAGCGTGACAGCACATTTACTAATCTGCACTATTTTAATTAGCGTGGAGTGAAAGAAGCCTACCTTTCCTGTGTTTTCTTATTGAGTTTGTGCCACCGATCGATGGCAGATCTCTTTTATTAACCCCTGAGAAGGACTATTTAAAGATGTGTACTATCACAACTTCCCGTTCGGTTTATCCCCCCGTCTTTCTTCCTTTCCATGCATGGCAATCTTTCTTTTCCTCCTCTGTTTTTCCTCTGAGGCACCAGATCATTTCTCTTCCCAGGTTCATGTTAAGGGCCCCCGGCTTCAATCGCTGGTTTAAGACATCAATCTCGTCTCTCTGTCCTTCTTTGCCCTTTACCGTCCCTCCGCTCAGTTTCTGCTCTGTGTTACAGATGGCAGCAGTGAACGCGGGGACAAAGATGCCAGTAAGATCACTACATATCCTCCCGGGGCCGTTCGTTTCGACTGTGAGCTGCGAGCTGTGCAGGTCAGCTGTGGTTTCCACCACTCCGGTGAGTGAAAATCTCCTCTGTCCTTGATAATCTAATAGAGGCCGTTGTTCATGTTTCTCGTCATTACTGTGGATCAATATTTGATGTTTTTCCTTTTTTTAATATGGCAAACGTAAATAGATATTTTTTTCTTCCAGTTGTTTTAATGGAGAATGGCGATGTTTACACTTTCGGTTATGGACAACATGGACAACTTGGACATGGAGATGTTAATTCTAGGTAATGAGGGTTTAAAGGGAACATTTGCAGTGATTGTGTCTTTCAGTGTTGTAAATTTTACAGTCAAAGCAAATTTATCTGAAAACTATTTTTTGAAAATTTAATTTATTTTACAACAAGGGACAGTGTACATTAATCAACATTTCCCAAGAACGTAAATGTAACCAAACTAGCCCAAAGACATTTTTTTTTATTATTGGCGGTCTCGTTGCCAAATGTTAAAGGCCTATACTAATACAAATACAAATTCAAACTATAAACAAAACTCAACAAAAAAAAAACTAAAAAAAAAAAAAAAAAAAACAACAATAGCAATAGCAAAAAACACAGTGTTTACAATGTTTATTATTAAGAAGCAATTTCTTAAAATTTTACTTAAACTGTGCTGAAATTGCTTAAAATGGGTTTCACCTCAGAGACATGTTCACATTGCACACAAAACACCCCAGATACTTATCTTCACGCCCCATGGTATTGCACTTCAATTAAAACATTTGGGAAAAGGTTACTGACTCACTCTCCAACTTTATGGAATGTCACATCACACTGTCTCACTCCCTCGGCTGATTAGGTGAAATATCCACAATAGATATTAAAAATTCAATTGGTCAGTTACTACTGGTGGCTCTAACTATTGTCAAAAAAACTATTTTAATGAACTGAAAATCAAGAAATACTATTCACATCTCATCCTGGAAAAACTTTACTGACAGAATACATCTCCATTGAAGATCCTCTTTGTCTGAAGCCATTCCCTAACAACACGTTCATCAGTACACAAACAAGAGGGGAGGGGAGGAGAGGGGGTCAAGTAGAGGTAGAAACTGCGGTTGCGTCCGAAACCGCCTACTACTCAGTAGGTACTGCATTTGAATTTAAACGTACTATTCGGCCGTTAGAAAAGTACAATCTATACAGTATGAATGTGAAAAGTATGAACGGAATTCAGACATATTACATTCGCCATTTTGTCATGGTCATGTGACCTAACCCGAGTTAGTTGCGTCGCTTCACTCCCGTTCATGAATTCTCTCGCGGGGCATCATAGGATAGCGCAGCGTGCTTGGAATGCGCACTTCAGAATCTCGCCGGAAGTAGTAAGTCATCCGGGTACTTCTCGCATACTGGTTTTCGAAATCTATGAATTCAGACATACTACTCTGCTCGCATACTGATTTTAGTGACTGTATAGGATGGAAGTATGTGGTTTCGGATGCAGCCCGTGTCTAATATTAAATAAAAATAAAAATGAATAAATTAAAAAAGAAAAAAAAATATTTAATTTATTAGTATTTTCCCACAATGTAATTAGGTCTTAACGTACTCCTTTATTTTCCCTCTTGTTCTATTCATTCTATTTTTCTGTCTCTCTCAAATTTATTTTGTTATTATTATTATTATTATTATTATTATTATTATTATTATTACTCCTTCTTGGCTTTCCCTCTACCTCAGTTCCTTGAGATATCTTCAAAGGTACAGATTGTATTAGAGATAGTGGTGCATGTGAAGTGGGGTTTTCCCCCCCGGCTGATCCAACATCAGATTAAATAATAACAATTATTTGGAGAAAAAAAATACATAAATGAATTAAAATATACGCATTCTCTAACAGATTGTGGTATCATATTCCACTGATGCGATACTTTTAAAAAAAAAAAAAAAAAAAAAAAGCCGTTTTTCGAAGTGTGACAATGTAATCAGCTCTGGTTGAACCATTAGTTTCTCAGTTTTCTATACATTTAAATTGAATAAAGTCAGCCAGAAGGGCAGAGGTTAATCCATGCTTTATCTTGTAAAACAGTGGTCCTTAACCACCAGTTCACGGATCAATTGGTACCAGGCCGCACAAGAAATCGTTAACTTTTTCCGTTTTATTTATTATCTGAATCTAAACAATCTTTTAATTTAAAAAAGTCTTTTATTTTGAAAAATGACTGTATTCTCAGTTACATCTCGGTCACTTGAGCGCTCAAATTTAACCCACAAGTAGCAAAATTAGTAAGAAACAGACATCTTTGAAAAGTTACTTTGCTGTAGGGAAAAGGCCCAGTGAACGAACCACGAAATGCCAAGGAATAGATCCGCAACTCATTTGTCAACAAGTCAGGTGAATGCATCATGGCTGTGCAAGAAGATCAACTGCTGTAGATCAAAAATGAAAGAGGCCTTTTAGGGGCTGTTCGCATATTGCGTCTTTTCTAGAGTTTGCACATGTTCTTTGTTTTCAATGGAGGTGCGTGGCTTGCGTGCACAAGACACACAGTTCAATGAATCCTGTGAGCGCACCGTGAGTTACGTGACAAGAATTGACCGATAAGCTTTAGCTTGTATGGAATATACACATTTCGGTAAGACTAATTATCCCAGATAAACTTACAACACCCAAACTGCATTGCTTTGTAATTTTCTTTATAAATAAATCTTGTTTCAGAGTGACAGCAATGTTTTGTCAACTTGTCATCCTCTGAGAAAACGGTTAATGGTAGCCTAGCAACCTACGAAACAATTGTCAAGCTCTGACTGGTCCAAAGTGATAAAAAGGTTGAGGACCACTGTTGTCAACTAAACAACCATTCATTCATTCATTCATTCATTCATTCATTCATTCATTCATTCATTCATTCATTCATTCATTCATTCATTTTCTTTTCGGCTTAGTCCCTTTATTAGTCTGTAGTTGCCACAGCGAACTGAACCACCAACTTATCCAGCATGTGTTTTACGCAGCAGATACCCTTCCATCTCTGGGAAACACCCGTACACTCTTATTTACACTCATATAATACTGACAATTTTAGCTTATCCAATTCACCTGTACCGCATGTCATTGGACTGTGGTGGAAACCGGAGCACCCGGAGAAAACCCACGCAAACGTGGGGAGAACATGCAAACTCCACACAGAAATGCCAACTGACCAGCCGAGGCTCAAACCAGCAACCTTCTTGCTGTTAGGCGAACTCTCTACCTACTGCACCACTGCGTCGCCCCTCACAACCATTTAATACTTTTTTAATTACCTTTTAACATCCATTTTTAATTATTTTCTAAATAACTCAATTTGCAATTAAATTTGCAATGTCTTAAGGTTAAACAATCAGTGGATTATTCAAAATTTGACATTTGCATCTGCTCTGGAACGCCAGTCTGATGATGTCAGTTTGATGGCTTTGGGGAGATTTGCTTAGCCACGCCCCTTGAATTGTTAATTTGCTGTAAGTAAAATATGACAGGTGGAGAGCAAAAATAAACCCTGGCCTCTACTTAGGTTTTTAATTTCAACTGGAAATACATCATCATAGTAAAATAAGTCTTCAGCAACTCCAGGTTCATCTGGAATTAATGTTTTTTTTTTTTTTTTATTTGAGTTTAAATGGATAATATTTAAATAATTTTTATTTAATAAAATGAATATGTTTAATTAGTTCATTTAATTATGAACACTAATTTAGTAAAATTATAACCATGCATTATTTTCATTCACCTATAGTAGTTTATTTAAATATTGCATTTTAATTCAAATATTTATTTGAATATCTGTGTTATTTTTATTCAAATGAATATAAGTATTTTATTGTAACTAATCATTTTTGTAAAGTTTGTTAGATAATTATTGGTTTTGTTAGATTTTTATTTTATTAGATAATATTTGATAGATAAATATTTAATAAATAGTATATGATATTTTAATTATTTTGATTTAGAATTACTGTAGAAATCAGAATTATTAAATCCCCTATGATTTAGTTTTTTCTTTTAATATTTCCCAAATGATGTTTAACAGAGCAAGGACATTTTCACAGTATGTCTGATATTTTTTTCCTGGAGAAAGTCTTATTTGTTGTATTTCAGCTAGAATAATAGTAGTTTTTAATTTTTTAAAAACCATTTTAAGGTCAAAATCATTAGCCCTTTCAAGCTGTATTATTTATATTTGTTTGATTGTATATACTATAACAACAAACCATAATTAAATAATAACTTGCCTAATTACCCAAACCTGCCTAGGTAAACGAATTAACCTAGTTAAGACTTTAAATGTCACTAAGTGTCTTGAAAAATATCTAGTCAAATATTATTTACTGTCATCATGACAACGATAAAATAAATCAGTTATTAGAAATGAGTTATTAAAACTATTATGTTTAGAAATATCTTCAAACTATTTTTCTCTCCGCTAAACAGAAATTGGGGAAAAAACTAAAAGTAGTGCTAATAATTCAGAGGGCTAATAATTCTGATTATGACTGTTTGTATTTTTTAACTTCATTCATTTAATTATAACTACTTTAGTAAAATTGTAATCATTCATAATTTTTATTCAGGTATAGTAGTTTATTACTTAAATATTAAATTACTGATTAAAATATTATTTTTTTATCAAATGAATGTATTTTATTGTAACTAATCATTTATTTAAAATAAATTAATAGTCTATTAAATGTAATGTTTATCTTTTATTTTTTTATTAAATTAATTTATTTAAAATTAATATTTTTGTAAAAATACTTTAATGTAATAAAAAAGAAAATCCTGAAAATTTTAATAATTATCCATATCAACAGGGGGTCTCCCACTTTGGTGCAAGCTTTGCCTGGCCCCAGTACTCAGGTGACAGCAGGCAGTAACCACACTGCAGTGCTTCTCATGGATGGACAGGTCTTCACCTTCGGGAGCTTCTCAGTAAGTTAGCAATCTTCCTCCATCACCAATCATCAAGTTAAAAATTTTCCATCAGTTTAAAATGGCTAGAATTTAAGTTGAATTGGAACCTGAAGAATATCTTTCAACAGAAAGGACAATTAGGGCGGCCCATCCTAGACATGCCCTACTGGAATGCCAAGCCCTCTCCAATGCCCAACATTGGTGCCAAATACGGTCGAAAGGCCACGTGGATTGGAGCCAGCGGCGATCAGACCTTCCTTCGAATCGACGAAGCGCTGATCAACTCTCACGTTCTGGCCACCTCTGAGATTTTTGCCAACAAACACATCATTGGTACATGCATTTGCATGACTGACTTGTTTTGAATTGAATGGCAGATATGTTTTGGTGTGTCTTATGATTAAGCTTTTATCTGTTGACTCCCATTCTGGTCTCTCTAGGTTTGGTTCCAACGTCTATATCTGAACCTCCTCCTTTTAAATGCCTGCTGATCAACAAACTGGATGGGAGCTGCCGCACATTCAATGACTCCGAGCAGGAGGATCTCCAGGGGTTTGGCCTCTGCTTGGATCCTGTCTATGATGTCATTTGGAGGTGAGGCCAATGGCTGTCTGGAGTTAAAATGCAGTGATCTTGTTTCCTGAAGGGAAATAAAATTATACACAAGGGGTTTCAGTCTGACATTTTAGTATTGAAATTTGTTTACCTATATACTGGTTTTACACAACTTTTACAGTTTTTAAATTGATCTTAATAAAATGCTTTATTATATTAGTATTTATTTGTTTTAAAAATATTTATTTATTCATTTCTTGATTGATTTAATTATTATATATTAGAACATTTGCTTATTCATTTTTAATATTCTTTTTAATCTAGTTATTGGAATTGATATTTTATTTATTTAATCATTATGAATTAAATTTATTCACTTTTTATGTTCACTTTATATATTTTGTTTAACTTATTTGGTTACTATTCAATCACAAGATCTATTATTTTAACAGTTAAATTAATTGGTTTCTCATATTTTTATTGTGTTCATAATTAACAAATTAAATAGTCATTAAAATAATAATGAAATATTATTTCATTAAAATAATATAAAATAATTTTTAATGGTATTTAAAACCTTTTCTATTATAAACGTTAAAAACAAACTATACAATCAGTCTATTTAATCCAACAAAAAAGATCAGTACAAAAATGTATATGTTAGAGAGAAAATATTTAAAAAAAGATAAAAAATAAACAAGGCAAGGCAAGTTTATTTATATAGCACATTTCATACATAGTTGCAATTCAAAATACTTTACATAAACAGGAATAAAAGAGACAAGTGTATAAGAAAATAAAAGCAAATAATAACAGTGATTAAAAAGAGATTAAAATGTGTTACAAACAGGTTATAAAATAATGAAAAAGAAAAGAAAGACATAATAGTGCGATCTGTCAGACGTAGCACATTGCTCATTCAGCAAAGGCACAGCTTAACAGATGTGTTTTCAGTCTTGATTTGAATATGCCTAATGTTGGAGCACATCTGATCATTTCTGAAAGCTGTTTCCAGCAGCGGGAGGCGAAATAGCTGAAGGTGGATTCACCCTGCTTTGAATGAAGTCTTGGAATTTGTAGTTTATATTATCCTTTGTCTTTACTAGAAACAAAGCATTTAATTCTTGCAATGTTTTTGAGATGATAGTATGCGGATTTACTGACCGCTTTGACATGACTATTGAAACTCAGATCTGACTCCAGAATAACACCAAGATTCTTGACCTTATTTTTTGTTGTTTGACTCAAACAAAAAACAGGAAGCAGAAAAAAGCAAGAAAGAAAAAAATCTAAATTAATTAAAAGTTTGCAGTTTATAGAATATTTGCACTACTCATTTAAATTAAAATTTATTATGCTTCTATTCCTAAAGGTTTTTTTATGCACCAACATAACATTATATATATATATATATATATATATATATATATATATATATATATATATATATATATATATATATATATATATATATATAGAGAGAGAGAGAGAGAGAGAGATATAGATATATAGATATATATATATATAGATATGTTTTTTTTTTTTTTTTTTTGCAATACATTTTAATAACATAATTTTTGCCTTCTTACTTCACTTCAGGTTTCTCCCTGTCACGCGGGAGATGTGCTGCTATAACGCTGTGATAGCAGATGCTCGTGTGCCCACTGCCTCCGACATCCAGGCCCTCTGCAGCATCCTGAGCCCTGAACTGGCTCTGCCCTCAGGATCCCATGCCAGCACCACCCGCTCCCATGGAGCTCTGCACATCCTGGGTACGACAACATCACACGCTGTACTCTACATCACTGCTCTGTTTAATGTCCGGTTCACAGCACTCTCCTGTCAAACAGGATCTCAAAACCCGTCAAGATTGACTCCGAATCATAAAACACTTGCTGTTTCTCTTTGTTTGAATGCACAGACAGGAAATGGAGATGTTTGACTGGCGTTGTACAGCCAGTGTGACAGCCTTTGTGCTTTCTGTCTGGCAAATCAAATTGTCCTTGGTCCTTTGAGAATAAAAGATTATTTTACTGTAAAAACCCACACTGAACTTTGAGAAAAAGAACTTCATAAAACTGATCAGTCCTTTTGGCTACTTACATTAAAATTTAGCCATTCCTATCTGCTAATTAGTCACTGTAAAATAAGGAGTTTAGAAATCAATATATAATCAAATAGATGCTTTTAATCTAAATACTAAAAAGATTAATAAATGAGAAGAGAAGAAAAAATGAGAAAAAAAAGAGTCAATTGTGTCAAAGTCATGGAGAGCTGGTGCTGTGCTCTTATGATAGTGAATTAGCAATTGTCTTGGCATGTTTTTATTTATATTAAAAAAAAAATATATATATATATATATATTGTGTTTTGTGAATGAGACATCTCATCTGTGTAATGAGTAATTTCTGCACAATCCAATTATAAATGTATTTTCCAAGATAAGTCATCAATTTGCACAGTTAGTTTACTGACTATGTTTCTGTCATCCAAATTTTGTGACAAAATTTGTATAAATATGACTTAATTCAGAAAGAAAGTTAAAGCTCTCTAAAGGTGGTTTTAAATGGATAATGAGATGGAAACACAATGCAGAATAATCTCCAATGAACATCACACCTACATGACTCCATTATAGCCCCTTTCACACAGTGATACCGGTAAATTTCTGGAAATTTTCCGGAACGACTTTACCGGTATATTCAAAAAAGCGCTGTTCACACAGGCGAGGATGTTACGGAAATTTTCCGGAAAAGAGCATTCACACATCCATTCCAAAATACGGTAAATTCTGACATCATTCACCACAAATGAGCTTTAAACGGCTGCGCATGTATTTGTAAACATTTGACTAAATTACAAACTCTGTGGATGATCAATATTGTGAACAACTTTCGCAGGATCACTTTCGCATGTCGAGATGTTCATAATATGAGCGTGTGCAGGCGCTCACAGGCGCACGCAAAGCTTGAAGGTAAACAAACAACGGCTTTTCATAAGCATCTCATCGATGATTATTTACACAGTTGGCATTAAGAAGAACATATAAACGTGATCTGACTAACTTCTAGCAGCTAAATGTGTCCGGAAAAATATTCAAAGGCTTTTATCCTCACAAACCACGCGGACGTAAATGCGTCTGACTGTTGTGATTGGCTAAAGCAGACGTCTCACGTCAGCACGTTCTAGACGTGCACGCGCTTATTACGGCAATCTTCCTTCTGCATTCACACAGCGCAGCATTCCGGCAAATTGCCGGTAATGTTACAACTTCTCTTTCCTGGAAAATAGCCAGAACGAATTTACCGGTATTTTCAAAAAGGACCTGTTCACACATACAACCTTTCCGGAAAATTGCCGGCAATTTTCCGGAAAGGTCTGTATGTGTGAAAGGGGCTATTGTTTGCCTTGTTTACTGTTGGTTGCTAGGTTACCAATACTGCAGTCAGCCACTCTAATGCTGTGTTCACACCAGACGCAGCTTATTCGAATAAATCATGATATTCGTGTGTAAAAAGACGCGCAAACATTTTTTGTTTATTTGCTTCATTTACGTGTCAAATTCGCTTCATTCACACGTCAAATTAACTAATAGATGCTGATTCGCATGGGCTGGGCTTCTGTCTACCCAGTGACTCTAGTTTTGTTGTTAAATGGCTAACATAGATTTTATTGAGATAGTACCCCTGCACTTTAAAAGGTTGAAAAACAGTATAGACTCATTCGGCACCGTGTCTGAGTCCACTTGAGATCCTTTCAGGGGGTGCACCAAACTCTGTGTGTTCATCCACTCCTCCAGAAACTATACCTAGAAGATCAAAGCTTTCAGCTGTGCTTCCACCTGAGCCGAACCCAGTTTGATGAGCTGTTATCCGATGTCGGCATCAGGATTTCCCCTCAGGACACCAACAACATGCTCTACATCATAATCACGCCCATACAAGAGCAAGCTTATTATTGGTTAACGCTGAGGGAATGTCTGCTAAAGTTTAGATTTTCCAACTCAAGTGATTCATGTCAAGTGTGCAAAAACACTTCATTCGTGCGAATCGCGTCATTTGTGTGACCTCATTTGTGCAAATTTTTCGCGGTAGTATGTCTATTCACAATGATCGCAAACTTGCAATGATTTAACATGTAAATCACTCGCGCTTGACGCTTTGTCCATGTCTGATGTGAATGCACCATAAGGCCTTGATGGAAACGCACCTAATTCACATATTATTTTTCCTTTTTTTACGAACTTTGAAAAGATTTGCTTCATGTTAGGATGGAAGCACAGCTTTTGGCCTCTGATCTGTATGTCATCTGATTTTATGAAAATGCTGCTGTTGAATGATTGAGCAGTTAACAACTGTAATAAACCTAACTTTTAACTGCCACTCAGGAAGATGTAATATGCATTGAACTAACTTTGTTATAGTAAAGTTTAAAAAACATTCAATTAATGTTTTCTCAGTAATTATTGTTTCAAACAGCTTTACAAAAAGATCACATTATTACAATCAAAATCGGAAAAGTGTTGTGTATAGGGTGGACAGTATATAAACACAGTTATCGTGCAGTTTTTCAGTATATGGTGTAGTTTCTAAAAAGGTAATAAAACACTTTATTTCAAGTTGTCAGTTCTTCTTTCGGTTCTGTATGCAGGTTGTCTTGACACACTGGCTGCTATGCAGGAGCTGAAGATGGGTGTTGCCAGCGCTGAGGAGGAGACCCAGGCTGTTATGAAAGTCTACTCAAAAGAGGATTACAGTGTCGTCAACCGCTTTGAGAGTGAGCTCATAAAAACCCACAGATTTTTTTTAACATCTCTAAGGTGGAGATCAAAATTAGAGCAGAGCAGCACCTAAATCAAAAATGCTTTCTATTAATTCATTTTTATTTATCAAATAATAAAAAATAATTTCAGAATACTGTTATACTGTTAAAGCTAGTCGAGCTAGTGCATTTTACTGCTCTTGCAGTAACTCCACTCAAATGAATGGCTTTCATAGTGCAGTGCTTTCCACTTCCGGTGTGAAAGCCACTTCACACCATGTAGTAACTTCTCCTGGAGGGACAGTGAAACCAGCACTCCGAATACTGCTTGCAAGTGCGGAAGGTACAGTCTTTAATTAGGCTCATGCCTTCAGGCATTTTTCTCTTTCAAATATGGAATTTGATTAATCTTCATATTTATACAGTACTCAGCATAAATGAGTACACTCCTCGGGATGCTTTACAATAATATATTTGTGCATATACATTACATTAGTAAATACCAAAGCCAAAACTGGAACTATTCTAACAACAAAACCTTAAGATCACAGCCCAAAAATTAGTACACGCAAATTAATATGTTGGGGGAAAAAAAAATTTTCAAAAAGGAAAAATGAAGAGATACATAGTTTAAATGTGTTATATTTCTATTCCTAAAAATGAGCCAACTTTTATTTTAATGAATATTATTTTTATAATGAAACTTTTTTTTTATTATTGAGCTAAAATATATTGGCTATATTCACTGAGAATTGGATGAAAATGTTAATTTTTAAAAGGGAGTGTAGAGAAAGGTGCACAGAGGAATGGGCTAAAATTCCCAAAGACAGGTTTGCGAATTTTGTGGCATCATATTCAAAAAGACTTGAGGCTGTAATTGCTGCCAAAGATGCATCAACAAAGTATTGAGCAAAGACTGAGAATATTTCTGTACATGTGATTTTTCAGGTTTTTTATTTTTAATAAATTTGCACATTTTTTCCCACATTGTCATTATGGGGGTATTGTGTGTAAAATTCTGAGCAAATAAATGAATTTAATCCATTTTGGAATAAGGCTGTAACATAAAAAAAATGTGGAAAAAGTGAATATTGAATATGAATATATAAATACTTTCCAGATGCACTGTATTTTCATACATTGGGTAAATGATCATTGTTTTAAAATCTTTTGAAAACTAGCAGCTTTAGGTGATTAATGGAGCCACTCTGCAACTTCCATTAATAAAAGTTACCTAAATTCAGCATTCAGGTTGTGTTTAATCAATGTTGTTTTATTCAATGTTTTTTTTTCCCAGGTCATGGAGGAGGCTGGGGTTACTCTGCCCATTCAGTGGAGGCCATCCGCTTCTGCGCTGATGCTGACATCTTGTTAGGGGGTTTGGGTCTTTTTGGTGGTCGAGGAGAATACACTGCAAAGATCAAGGTCAGGTGCTATCTCTACTACACTGCTTGAGGTTTTGGGCTTGATGATATTTAGGATGTGATTGTCTTTGCAGCTGTTTGAGCTGGGTCCAGATGGAGGAGACCATGAAACTGATGGAGACCTTCTGGCAGAGACGGATGTTCTGGCATATGACTGTGCTGCTCGGTATGCCTATATAGCTGTTATTTATTTAATTATTTCTGTTTGAGTACTGTATCCAGAACGAATAAGTATTGTATTATATTTATTTATATTTTTGTCTTTAAATGCAATTTTGGATTTTCTTAATATAGGCAATTAGTCTTGTTTATTAATATATAATTTTTTTTTTCCTTTTTCACTTTGATTTACAAGACATTTGTGTTTTTATCCAATTTAGTTTGCCAATTTAGTACTTTTTAAATAAAAGTTTTGGCTTAAAATTATGTTTTTATAACTTTTAACAAAGGAAACCCGCTTTGAATCTAAATGTTAATGAGATGTGAGATGTGGAATTTGCCAATCAAGACTTTCTCACTCATGTGCAAGAGAAACCAATTTGTAACTTCTGTATGAATATTTTCACGATAAAACATATTTTATTGGATTTATTGTTTTTTTTATTTTATTAGAGAATGTATTTAAGTAGGAAATCATTTAAAATGTCTTATGTAAGAATTTTTAAATATTTCTCATTAATCAAATTGAAAAGTCTTATATGACTTTATTTATCAGTGTTGTTATTTGTATGTTTTTTTTTTTTTGTAAAATGCATGATTATTTAGAAAGCAGTAATAATTGTAAAATATAGCTGCAAGCAGCAATTAAGGGGCCAAGCACTATTGGCCATAAGGTGGCGCTGCTCCAGACGTTTTTGAGTACTTTCAGGGCATGGGGTTGAAGATGCATACCATGTTTTGTAATGATATGTGAATGTGTTGGTAAAATATAGCATTTTTGGCCAAAAATCGAAATGGGCGACACCCAAAATGGCTGACCTGTGAAAATCAGACATCATTCGACTCGGCATGCTCTGGAGGATGTAATGAGACCAGTTTCATGAGTTTCGGACAAAAGGTTGAGACGTTATAAGCCAAAAAGCAAGTTTTTAGTATCTCCGGACCACTAGAGGGCAGTGCGCCGAAACTCCGCAATTAACCTTAGACCCTAGTTGTCATAACACACACCAAGTTTGGTGTGAATCGGTGAATGCGTTACAGAGATATCGCCTCAAGTCCATTTTCGCAAGTTCTACGTTAAATTATTTCGCAAGTTAAACGAAAACGGTTGGTCTAATCAACTTGAATTCCATAACTTTTGGTTGGCATGGTCTGTAGATCATGTGATTCAATTTTGGTAAAAATCGGAGACACGGCCTAGGACGAGTTCGATCAAATAGGTTTTTCGAAAAATTTAAAATAGCGCGAAAAAATTCATGACGGAAATGACGTCATAGGGTGGGTTTGAATCGGACTGAGCCAAGGAATCAGAGGAAAAAAGAATTTTGATTGTAGCCCATTCGGTTCAAAAGTTATGATGATAAATGTATGTGAAAGTTTGGACAAGTGGTGGCGCTAGAGAGTTTGATTTTGAGACTTCATTTTTGGCCTGATTAATGTTAATACTGGCCTCTATCATTGTGCCAGATGCATACCATGTTTTGTAATAATATGTGAATATGTTGGTAAAATATAGCATTTTTGGCCTAAAATCAAAATGGGCGACGCCCAAAATGGCTGACCTGTGAAAATCAGACATCATTTGACTCGACATGCTCTGCCGGATGTAATGAGACCAGTTTTATGAGTTTCGGACGAAAGGTTGAGATGTTATAAGCCAAAAAGCAAGTTTTTTATATCTCCGGACCACTAGGGGGCAGTGCGCCGAAACTCTGCCTGTAACCTCAGACCCTAGTTGTCATAACACACACCAAGTTTGGTGTGAATCGGTGAATGCGTTACGGAGATATCGTCTCAAGTCCATTTTCGCAAGTCCTTCGTTAAATTTGATCGCAAGTTAAACGAAAACGGTTGGTCAAATCAACTTGAATTCCATAACTTTTGGTTGGCATAGTCTGTAGATCATGTGATTCAATTTTGGTGAAAATCGGAGAAATGGCCTAGGACGAGTTCGATCAAATAGGTTTTTCGAAAAATTTAAAATAGCGCGAAAAAATTCATGACGGAAAATGACGTCATAGGGTGGGTTTGAATCGGACTGAGCCAAGGAATCAGAGAAAAAAAGAATTTTGATTGTAGCCCATTCGGTTCAAAAGTTATGATGATAAACATACGTGAAAGTTTGGACAAGTGGTGGCGCTAGAGAGTTTGATTTTGAGACTTCATAATTGGCCTGATTAATGTTAATACTGGCCTCTATCATTGTGCCAAATTATACAACTTTCCCGCATACGCCTATATGGGCTGCCATTCAAATCCGGCGGAAGAAACGGAAGAAGAAGAAGAAGAATAATAATAATAATAATAAATATAGCTGCAAGCAGCAATTAAGGGGCCAAGCACTATTGGCCATAAGGTGGCGCTGCTCCAGACGTTTTTGAGTACTTTCAGGGCATGGGGTTGAAGATGCATACCATGTTTTGTAATGATATGTGAATGTGTTGGTAAAATATAGCATTTTTGGCCAAAAATCGAAATGGGCGACGCCCAAAATGGCTGACCTGTGAAAATCAGACATCATTCGACTCGGCATGCTCTGCCGGATGTAATGAGACCAGTTTCATGAGTTTCGGACGAAAGGTTGGGACGTTATAAGCCAAAAAGCAAGTTTTTTGTATCTCCGGACCACTAGAGGGCAGTGCGCCGAAACTCCGCAATTAACCTTAGACCCTAGTTGTCATAACACACACCAAGTTTGGTGTGAATTGGTGAATGCGTTACGGAGATATCGTCTCAAGTCCATTTTTGCAAGTTCTACGTTAAATTTGATTGCAAGTTAAACGAAAACGGTTGGTCAAATCAACTTGAATTCCATAACTTTTGGTTGGCATGGTCTGTAGATCATGTGATTCAATTTGGGTGATAATCGGAGAAACGGCCTAGGACGAGTTCGATCAAATAGGTTTTTCGAATAATTTAAAATAACGCGAAAAAATTCATGACGGAAAATGACATCATAGGGTGCGTTTGAATCAGACTGATCCAAGGAATCAGTGGGAAAAAGAATTTTGATTGTAGCCCATTTGGTTCAAAAGTTATCATGATAAACATACATGAACATTTGGACAAGTGGTGGCGCTAGAGAGTTTGATTTTGAGACTTCATATTTGGTATGATTAATGTTAATACTGTCCTCTATCATTGTGCCAGATGCTTACCATGTTTTGTAATGATATGTGAATATGTTGGTAAAATATAGCATTTTTGGCCAAAAATCGAAATGGGCGACGCCCAAAATGGCTGACCTGTGAAAATCAGACATCATTCGACTTGACATGCTCTGCCGGATGTAATGAGACCAGTTTTATGAGTTTCGGACGAAAGGTTGAGATGTTATAAGCCAAAAAGCAAGTTTTTTGTATCTCCGGACCACTAGGGGGCAGTGTGCCGAAACTCCGCAATTAACCTTAGACCCTAGTTGTCATAACACACACCAAGTTTGGTGTGAATCGGTGAATGCATTACAGAGATATCGCCTCAAGTCCATTTTCGCAAGTTCTACGTTAAATTAGTTCGCAAGTTAAACAAAAACGGTTGGTCTAATCAACTTGAATTCCATAACTTTTGGTTGGCATGGTCTGTAGATCATGTGATTCAATTTTGGTGAAAATCGGAGACACGGCCTAGGACGAGTTCGATCAAATAGGTTTTTCGAAAAATTTAAAATAGCGCGAAAAAATTAATGACGGAAAATGACGTCATAGGGTGGGTTTGAATCGGACTGACCCAAGGAATCAGAGGAAAAAAGAATTTTGATTGTAGCCCATTCGGTTCAAAAGTTATGATGATAAACATACGTGAAAGTTTGGACAAGTGGTGGCGCTAGAGAGTTTGATTTTGAGACTTCATAATTGGCCTGATTAATGTTAATACTGGCCTCTATCATTGTGCCAAATTATACAACTTTCCCGCATACGCCTATATGGGCTGCCATTCAAATCCGGCGGAAGAAACGGAAGAAGAAGAAGAAGAATAATAATAAATATAGCTGCAAGCAGCAATTAAGGGGCCAAGCACTATTGGCCATAAGGTGGCGCTGCTCCAGACGTTTTTGAGTACTTTCATGGCATGGGGTTGAAGATGCATACCATGTTTTTTAATGATATGTGAATGTGTTGGTAAAATATAGCATTTTTGGCCAAAAATCGAAATGGGCGACGCCCAAAATGCCTGACCTGTGAAAATCAGACATCATTCGACTCGGCATGCTCTGCCGGATGTAATGAGACCAGTTTCATGAGTTTCGGACGAAAGGTTGAGACGTTATAAGCCAAAAAGCAAGTTTTTAGTATCTCCGGACCACTAGGGGGCAGTGCGCCGAAACTCCGCAATTAACCTTAGACCCTAGTTGTCATAACACTCACCAAGTTTGGTGTGAATCGGTGAATGCGTTACAGAGATATCGCCTCAAGTCCATTTTCGCAAGTTCTTCGTTAATTTAGTTCGCAAGTTAAACAAAAACGGTTGGTCAAATCAACTTGAATTCCATAACTTTTGGTTGGCATGGTCTGTAGATCATGTGATTCAATTTTGGTGAAAATCGGAGACACGGCCTAGGACGAGTTCGATCAAATAGGTTTTTCGAAAAATTTAAAATAGCGCGAAAAAATTCATGACGGAAAATGACGTCATAGGGTGGGTTTGAATCGGACTGAGCCAAGGAATCAGAGGTAAAAAGAATTTTGACCGTAGCCCATTCGGTTCAAAAGTTATGATGATAAACATATGTGAAAGTTTGGACAAGTGGTGGCGCTAGAGAGTTTGATTTTGAGACTTCATAATTGGCCTGATTAATGTTAATACTGGCCTCTATCATTGTGCCAAATTATACAACTTTCCCGCATACGCCTATATGGGCTGCCATTCAAATCCGGCGGAAGAAACGGAAGAAGAAGAAGAAGAAGAAGAAGAATAATAATAATAATAATAATAATAAGAACACTAACGAAAGCAATAGGTGCCTACGCACCTACGGTGCTTGGCCCCTAATAAATATAGCTGCAAGCA